TTTAAGTTAGTTTATTTATTTTTATTTATTTTTCAAGTTATTGACTTGTAATCCTACCTGCATATCTTTGGTTTCTTAGATGACGTTCACTTCAAAGCTTCGTTCGGCACTTTCACTGGAGTTCTAGAACAAACGCTGGAGTTTCCGGTGGATTTATTTTTTTTGGATACGTTAAAGGGGGTTTTCGATTTCACTTGGCACACCAAACTCAAGCTGCAGTTAGATTCTGGGCTCTTGGTACTCTGTTCTCAGTGGAGCTCCGTTCTGCTCGAGATGTGGCGAGTGATGGACTGTGTGGCGGAAGATTGAGCGTCCATGCTTTTATATCTGGCATGGGCATGCCCGAACCAAAAATCAACAAGTGGGCGAGCGGGACGAACGGACGACGAACGGATGACGAACGGACGACGAACGGACGACGAACGGACGACGAGCGGGACGAGCGGACAGGCGGACATATGGACAAACGGACAAATGGACAAACGGACGAGCCAGCAAATTGGACTCCACTGGGCTTTAATAACAGTTATGGCGTCGGCACTCTCTACACATACAAATACAGATACAGATACAGTATCTGAATCCGTACTTGTATCTATATCTGTATTTGTATCTGTATCTGTAGCTGTGCTCGTTGCGTTGCTCGTTTGTTTGAGCCCCCCAAAAAGGGGGTGGCTCACAGGGGATGGGATTGCTATGGCCGATTGCCGATTGCCGTCTTACTTGTTGCTCTCCACTGATTGATTGACTCGCAACCGCCGATGAAAATTTCATGCAAATTTATTATTTTAAATCACATTTTTCTCATTAACATTCGCCGAAGTTTGGATCGGCTGGGATCGGATCGCACTGGATTGGAAATTGAAATGAAATGCATGCCCCAAATGCATATGCCAAGCAGTACGGTTTTTTCTTTACAGTATATAGCCCTCGATCCGGTACCATATGGTGGGAGGCCAATCAAGGATCAATCAGATGTCAGACGTCAGATGTCAATTAAGAATGGAGCAATCATCCACCTTTATTACCGCCGCCTGCAGGCTGATAATTCTGGATTTGTGCAGGTTGCGATTTTAATGCGGCTTGCCGCGAATTAGTTTCATCCAGACAGTACAGTACAGTACAGTACAGTCAATCATCGCCAAGTGGTCAAAGCCGATGACGATGTCGATGGCGATGGCGAACGTCACTCCTTGTAGGGGCCATGGATATAGAGATATATAGCCATAGATATAGACATGGCAGACCTGCTGCCTCCAGTCGGGGGTCTGAATCAATTGCATCTCCGGCACTATTTGCATTCCACAGTCGAACCAATTGCACAAAGATCCCGCCGCAGACGCTGCTGCAATTGATTTTGGTGTGGCGTCAATTGAAATGCACTTCGGAGTCTAGGATTCTTGGCACGGAGAAAAAATACAACCAAAATTGGTAATCCCACTCATGACAATTGAACACTTAACAGTGAAAATTATAACAATAACACTCTTAAGCTGTTCTTTAAATGGCTATTGTAGCCCCTTAATTAGGTTCCACTTTATATTTAGACAATACCAAAAAAAATTCTCAAAAATAACTGAAGGAGGCACAGTGAAAATTTATGACTCAAAAAAGATGGCTCATCAATATTATTCTTCTTCAAAATTCTTATCTGCTTACGTTCTCTACAACTCGTCACTAGGTGGTGATATTGCTAAGGTATAGAAATTTATATTAATTAAAATAGGCTCTTATCTGTGACAGCAATTGAATTATTTCCATAATTTATCAGTTTAATAATATACACATAATATATATATATATAAGTATTTCATTCACCAAAGCATGGCTTTCATTTTATTTTTTTTTTTTTTGATAAAGAAGAACATTATTTTCTTTGTCGTAAAATTATAGTGTTATGAAATTATGATAACAATAAACCAATGTGATAACATTTTATGCGTTAACAAAGAAATGAGATAATATATTATCAGAAACACATAATTTACCAATTTATAATTTGTAATCAGATTCCAAATATTTAGAATTTTATATTAGCGGAATTCTTTTTAATCTAGTTATTATAAGTATGAATTTAAAAGTATTTAGTTAGTTAAAATAAGAATTTTAAAGTAAATCATTCCTCAACTTCACACTGATATAATTTGATATCTTTCTTAAATTCTGTTACCGAAGTTCTAGTTTCAGATAAAAAAGATTTGATCAGTTTGATTTGCTTTGCTTTAATTTCTTTCTTTCTTTACCTAAAAATATAATCTATCTTATCTTAACTTGAGATATTATCAGCCTAAAAATTCTTGGGCATTTTTCTCCGTGTGGGCCTACGTGCTCCGCGTGGCCTGCCACCGTTATATTCAAATGAAGTGGAGCTCACGCAATCACGGGCGGCAACAGACAATCGGGGAAAGTCATCATGGAGACCAGCGGTTTGGTCATTATCGGGTCGGGAACGATGATGATGATGATGATGATGATGGGCTGCTGGGACCTTGCCACCGCAGATGGAAATCAAATGGCTGTCACCTAGCAACAGACGATGCCACGCCCAATTTAAAGTGGCCATCGCCCGTGGAGCCACCCAACCACAAACCAAATAATAAACCACCCAACCACCCATTTGATTCTATATATATATATATATATATATATATATATATATATATATATATATATACAGATATTGGCCCCTCTAGTCGCCCACGCAGTCGCGCAGCCAATTTGGCCATCAGTCAATAGGGCTTCATTTGAATTGCCAGCTTGTCTCCAATTGATGATGGCCAACCCCATGGAGGGCTTGTCGGGCCCACGCTAGGTCCTTGCCAGGACCTGCCCCTCATCCTCATCCTCATCCTCATCTCCATCCTCATCCTCATCTCCATTCCCGCCCACATCCCATCTACTTGTGTATCTATGTAAGTACATCCCCATCTGCAATCAGTCGGCAGCATGGCGTAATTAAACCCGCCGCTGTCACAGTTGTCGTCTCGTGGCGTTTATTGGCAACATTGTTCACTTAATCATCCAACATTTACTATATTTGTTAGCATCGATGCACGTCTGTCTATCCGTCTGTTCCGTCTGCGGGTTCATGGAAAATCCCTGAATGTGACACATGCACGAAGGGAATTTATATTCGACAACTGCGAAGTTCATCGGAACTTATTAGCTGCCGGGAAAATTTTACTTAAATACTTTCATGATGCAAGAAAACTGTCAGTTTCACGATCTGATCATGTTTGATTATACATTACAACACATGAAAGAGCGGAGGAAATTTAAAATTCATGAACAAGTTTAGTACTATCTGTCGATCGTGCTTTGAAAGAATCCCTGTAGATGACAAATAATCAATTAATTCATTTTTATTAAAATCCCCTATTTATTAAAAAAGTGATTTTTTTGTAATGTTTATATGCATTATTATACTTTTTTTTTAATATGCTTTGAGGGGGTAACCTTTTCCTATATCATTGTCTATACTACAAACGTCAACTGGGAACCTATTGATCATCCTTTCAATGATCATCTTAATATTTTGAAAATCTTAATCTCTATTTAATTCATATACGTTGCATAGAAATAAACTAAACAATACAAAACCATCGTTAGTTGCGCATCACGCTGTTTAAAAATATATTTCAACTTTATATAATATTTTTCCAACCACTTACTATATTGTTTTATATTTAAGTATACTCGTATAAGTGGATGACCGCTGCAGTCTATCAATAAAATTTAATGCCGACCTTCGTATTCTGATTAGACTTGTAGAATCTATTAATTGACCACTTAATGTTCACATACTATAGGATTTCATTGATAAGACACAGAAATAATCAAAGCAAATTTGATAATACTTTAACCTTTTTAACTATATATACCATTTTAAATTGAAATAGTTGCTCAGCCATCAGCAAAACCTGTCGTGAATTTAGGGTTATTAAGAATAAATATAAGATTAAAATGATTATCAAAAGGAATTTTTTAGATTTTTTTTTGCGATTTTAAACGTATATTGGATTTTTCTTGGCCAGTTATCAACAATTTAGGAGATACGCCTTTGATAAGGTTGCCCCCAGAGGTATACCACATAAAAAAAGAAATGGATTTAAAACCAAATAATAAGTAATGCCCTGATAAGCAGGCAAACAACTGATACATCTACAGAATTAAGTACATTTTATATTTAGAACATGATCTCATGTTTCACTTGTGATTAAGCTTCACTGTAAGAAGCAACCAAATATTTGTCTAGAAATAATTATTTTAAGAATGTGATCTCATGGTTCACTTATTATTGAGCTTTACTGTACACAGTCTAAAGCAGGCAATTACTTGATATTTGTCTATACAAAAGTACACTTATTTTAAGTTCATGATCTCATGGTACTCTTGCTCATGAGCTTCACTGTACACAGTAATTAAATGGTTAAACGCCTTATCTAAAGCTCTAGATTATTTAGTACCAAATGAGCTTTAGTTGGCTGAACAGCTGACAAAAAAAAGCATGCTCTAAAGCTTTAGATATCTTTCAAGGTTAAACAATTAATACACCCAACCAAAAAATAATAGTGCAACCTGTTGTGGTGGAACTATTTCTGTTACCCATGAAAAACTGGTTTTTCACCCATGTACACTCTGACTTTTATGGGCGAAATGAACATTTATTTCGTTTCTGGAGGCCTGACAATTTTTCTAAATTTATACAGTTAGCAATTTGAATTTTTCTTGATTTTTAAAACTCTTTTAGTTTTCTCACTCAATAAAAAATATGTGTAATGCGTATTTATTTGTGTTTAAAATCATTCTATTCCATTAGGTTAGTTGACAACTTTCCGCACACTCCATTTGTTGTTCTGAAATTTAGGTCGACATGTTTGAAGTACACAGTGTCGACTGAGCATCGGCAGTTTCTAAATTTTAACAGTTTTTCAAAATTCCAAATAGCCAGAGATTTCTGCAAGTGTAAACGGTTTGATAACCCCCCGACAAAAGCTTTTTTTCTGCACCAGTCGTCTATCGGTTGTAGCCACATACAGTTCGATATTTGCTAACCAATTTTAAGAGGAGACCGAAGATCAACAATGAACCGTCGACTTCCAGAAGCTTTAAACCAGTGCCAGAGGTTCCTCTTTGCAGTAAACAGCCATGCAAAACCGGCCTTTTCCGCTAGATTTCTTTCAACATCGCGGGTGAACCACGAGCGGCAAGAGTAAGTTTGTTTATTTCGCTGTGAAAAAGTTTTGCTAGTTTATCGCGAACCAACTGGCATGCCAAGTGTATATCTCTCACAATAAAACAAATTCAATTAGTATGCTTTAGGTGGGGTTAGCAACTAAACAAAAAGTATACCTAATTAATGGCGATAACGAAGAGTTCATTTGTGGGCCATGGTTCGATTACGAAGATACATAGATTAGCTTTTTTGAGGGTGTGGTCAGGGGATTGTCCTACTTTTAATAATCTGTCATAAGGGGATCCTGAAATTTAAAAATTTTTTAATTAAAATGTATTTTGTCTACCAGATGTCAAGTTCTGGTTGTGGGCGGCGGAACTGGCGGCTGTGCCATGGCCGCCAAGTTGTCCTCGCGTCTTGGCAGCAACAAGGTGATCGTCTTGGAACCCGAAGAAGTAAGTAAGCCTGCCCCTCATAACTAACTTTGTTATAATGATACATATTACCTGGTACTTCCCCGCAGAAACACTACTATCAGCCCATGTTCACTCTAATTGGAGGTGGAATGAAGCGACTGGACCAAAGTCACAGGCAAATGTCGGATGTCTTGCCCAAAAAAGCCAAATGGGTGAAAGAAAAGGCCGTGGAATTCGATCCGGATAATAATACGGTTAGCACATCCGGCGGTAAGACGATCAAGTACGATTTCCTTGTTATTGCCACAGGAATGCAGCTAAGATATGAAAAGGTTAGTTCAATTTTAATAATATTTTTTTAACATAATAATGAGAAGATTTTGCAATAGATCCCTGGACTTGTAGAGGCCCTGGAGACCCCGGATAGCAATGTTTGTTCCATATATTCGCCCAAGTACGTGGATCACGTGTACGAGTGTCTGCGTAGGACATACAAGGGAAATGTGATCTTTACCTTTCCCCATTGTCCCATCAAATGTGCAGGTGCACCTCAGAAAATCGCCTATATATCGGACCACTACTTCAGGAAGGTGGGTATATCAACTAACTACATAGCTAACTAACTAATAATCAATTTACTCCTTTTCCAGTTGGGTCGCCGCGAAAACGTCAATATTATTTACAACACATCTCTTCCTGTGATTTTTGGCGTAAAGCATTACGCGGATGCCTTGATGAAACTGGTCAAGAGGCGAAATATTACGCTCAATGTAAGCAGAAATCTCGTAGAGGTCAGACACGGCGACAATATAGCTGTCTTTGAGGACCTCACAAAACCCGGAGAGTTCTATGAGGAAACGGTAAGACCTTGGAGAATATAGAGTCTATTTAAATGGTTTTATGAAAACGAAAAATTGTGTTAACTTTAATTTGTTGAAATTGAAAATTTGTTGGATAGTTGGTAATCTAAAATTTCTGTTCCATAAGCTACAGAACAATTTTTGATCTTTTTTTTTTTCTTTTTTGAAAAGAATTTATCAACTTATAATACTGGTTGAATTATATTTGTTGAGATTTAAATATTCATGTAGGTTAGTGAGTGTTTAAAAATGCGATGGTGTGTCCCTTTAAAATTGAAGAGCCATTTCAAACAATTTAATAATTAATGGTATTATTTATTAATTTGAAGTTCGATTAAGTTTCGCTTTCTTTTTGCCTATGATCACATTTCGAATCAAATTTATTTTCATTTTGTGAAACTCCCCCTTAGTACTCCATGCTCCATGTGACGCCACCGATGACCGCTCCGGATGTGGTAGCCAATTGCAAGCAGCTGGTCACCCCCACCGGATTCGTGGACGTGGACCAGGCGACGATGCAGCACACCAAGTACAGCAACGTGTTCTCCATCGGCGATTCGGCAAGCTCCCCCAACTCAAAAACGGCGGCGGCGGCAGGTAAGATTTGGATTCCGTTGGAAATCGGAATCGTAATGGGCGAATATTCAATGACCTGTGGAATACGAAATGAGTTTTATCCGCTTGCAGCTGCACAGTCACCGGTGGTTTTTAGGAACCTGATGGCCGCGATCGAGGGCAAGAATCCCACGGACCTCTACGACGGGTACTCCTCCTGTCCCATCGTCACCGGATACAGCTCCTGCATTCTAGCGGAATTTGATTATACACTTACGCCCGTGGAAACATTCCCTGTGGATCAGAGCAAGGAGAGGTATTCGATGTTTTTCATGAAGAAGGAACTGATGCCGGTGCTCTACTGGAAGCTCATGATGAAGGGTTATTGGAATGGACCGGCACTCATGCGAAAAATGTTCTCCGTTCTTAAATTTAATAAAAAGTAATATTAACCTTAGTGATCATTTCATATTTGTACGTTTTTAAAAAGACCGCCAAGCTTGCCACTCACAGCGATACGGTTTCTACATGCAAATTCAGCCCTGAAAAAATACCATATGTACATTGCGCGTTACATTAATAGGTTCAAAATGACAGTTCCTGAAAACTTGAGAAATTAATTTTTAAAAAGTTTTCAAAGCTGTGGATTGACTAAGTCGATGTTACTACACATAATAACTGAGAATATCTTATAATAAAATAAATTTGTTATAATAAAAACATCATAGATTTGCATAAATCTCTAGACTTTCTATCTTAAGCTTATTCAAAGTTTTAAGTAATCATGTACGGTGAACCTATTCAAGTGACGCGAAGTGTACAAGCCCCTGTATATTCTGGTATATATTAAATGTAGTCTGGTATTTGCCAGCATTAATCGCTTTCACAAATTCGGTCACTCTAAAACAAAGCGTGGCGTCGCTTGGCGCTGGAAATTTGAAGGTAACGTCCGAAAAGAGAGATCAATTTGTGCTCCAAAACAAGCTGAAAACACACTAAGAACCTCAATTAAGTGGTAAAAGAAAGCAGAAAATATGAAGGCAGTGTAAGTATAACGCCGGAATAAAAAATATCGACCACAGGACTGAAAACTCCTCTCCACAGACCCCGTACGCCGATGCGCGTCGTCCCGAAAACACCGCGGCCACCAAAAACTACGGAGAAACAGCGGCAAAACACCTCCGATAAGGCCCGGGATCCCGTGAATGTGTTCTGCCGTGTGCGACCACTCCAATCCGATGCGGATCTCACCTCTCTGCGGGTGAAGAACTCCACAACGATCGCTTTGAGTCCGCAGGATCAGCTGCTGCAGCACCACAAGCAGCACAATGGCGCCCAGCGCGAAATTCAGTACATCTTTAAGCACGTCTTTCAGCCGGAAGCCACGCAGCAGGATGTGTACGTGTCGGTGGCCCAGCCACTGGTGGAGAATCTGCTCAAGGGCCGGGACAGCCTGCTCTTCACATACGGAGTGACTGGCAGCGGCAAAACGTACACCATGACCGGGAATCTGCGCCACCGGGGCATTCTGCCGCGCTGCCTGGACGTGCTCTTCCGCACCATCTCCGATTACCAGGCCAAGAAGTTCGTCTTCCTGCCGGAGAAGCCAAACGGCTTCGAGATTCTGTCCGAGGAGGATGCCCTACTGGAGCGCCAGAAGGAGATGAATCAGCGGTTTGCAGGCGCCGGTCGGTTTGCCTTCCGGCACAAGGATTCCGATCCGGAGATAGCATCCCAGGCCTCCGTGGAGCCAGTGCCGCTACTGGGTTTGGATGAGGACAACATGTACTCGGTGTTTGTCACCTACACTGAGATTTACAACAACAGCGTTTACGATTTGCTAGAGGATACGGGCAGACAGGAGTGAGTACTGGCATCTAGATTGTATTTATCCCTTTTTAATCTAATATACGATTTGTGCAGGACTTTGCAGAGCAAAATCATTCGCGAGGATGCCAACCGTCGCATGTTCGTCCATGGCGTCACTGAGGTGGAGGTCAAGACAGTGGAGGAGGCCCTCGAGGTCTTCCAAATGGGCCAGAAGCGCAAGCGCATGGGGCACACTGTTTTGAATGCCGAATCCAGTCGCAGCCACTCGGTGTTCAACATTCGCCTGGTCCAGGCGCCAGTCGATAGCCAGGGTGAGAATGTGGTCCAGGACAGTCGGAACATAACAGTGAGCCAACTGTCCCTGGTGGATCTGGCGGGCAGTGAGCGCTCCTCGCGCACCAAAAACACTGGCGTGCGACTTAATGAGGCGGGCAAGATCAACAACTCGTTGATGACGCTGCGCACTTGCCTGGAATATCTGCGCGAGAACCAGCTTGCAGCGGCCAATGGCTTGCCACCCAAGAAGATTCCCTATCGCGAGTCCAAGATCACACACATATTCAAGAGCTACTTCGATGGCGAGGGACAGGTGTCCATGATTGTGTGCATCAACCCGAGAATCGAGGACTATGATGAGAATATTGTGGGTTTTAATGACTAATACAAAGAATAATCTTTGCTAACATGTATTTTTCCCCCTCTCAGCAAGTGATGAAGTTTGCTGAGATGACCCAGGAGGTGCAGATAGCCAGAGCCACACCCATGAAACAGGACTTGGGTCTGACTCCTGGCCGCCGCAAGGCCAACAAGTTGTTCAAGATTGCCATTAACAATCTGAACGAGCTGGGCATTCCCGAGGCCAAGGATTTGGAGGTGGATGTTGGACTGGTGTACAGTTTGGGACCCGACTTTCCCGCCTATCAAATGGACAGTCCCGAGGCGGAGGTCAAGATCCGGGAGTTGATGTACTATCTGGAGCAGCGCATTGAGAAGCGCAAGAAGCTGCGCGCCAATATGGACATAAAGTGTGGGTCTCATTCTGCTCGCCTTCTAAATACATAAATGCTAATTTTGTATATTACTTTTAGGTGACAGCTTCCGGCAGATGCTGATGAACCTGGACCGCGACAATCTACAGCTTCGCACTGAGCTCGCCTCCTTGAAGGCTGTGTACAAACAGGAGCGCGATCGCAGCGCTGCCCTCGAGAAAAAGGTGCGCATCCACGAGAGCTCCATCGACGTGCTTAACAACACGTTGAGCAAGCGGGAACGACAGATCGAGGAGCTGACCTTCAAGCTCAACGAGAAGGAGAACATGCTGACCCAGAAGGAGCAAGAGAAGGAGAAGCAAAAGAAGAAGTTCAGCTCCAAGTTGGCCGTCGAGTCGGACAAAAACAAGCGCGAGTTCGAGCTTAAGTTGCGGGAGCAGCGAACAAAACTGCAGGAACGCATGCGCATCAAGGACGAGAAACTGCGCCTGGTCTCCAACATTCTGCAGTCCGAGGATCTGCCTAGTTTGCCGCGTTCCCAGAGCTCGGAGGATATACTGAACGATAAGGAACGCGGGGCATTCACAGTGCGAACAGAGACATCATCAGTGCCGGCTACACGAACAGATATTTACGCCACACCTCGTCATGTAAGAAGTCTCTGTCGCTCTTTAGAAATTCTATTGTAACATTTGTGGTTTTTATTTCAAACTAAAACAGGGAGCAGCTGCGGCCAACAACCGTCATAGACGCTCTCGTTCCGCCGGCGACAAGTGGCTGGAGCACCGGGCCGCCAATCCCGTGCCACTGGGAACCATCATGCAGCCGTACCTGAAGAATCGCAAATCGGTGACCAAACTGACCGACATGAAGGAGCTTACCGCCCACGGAGCCAACAAGTATTGCCTCGTCTCGCAGGATGCGGATACGGATGGCGATGTGGAGACCAAGCTGTACAAGGGCAATGTGATCCCCACCTGCGGCGGCGGTGCCCAGGTGGTGTTCAACGATGTGGAGTGCCTGAAGCAGAAGTCGCCGGTTCACTCGCCCACGCGAAAGCGACCCAGCAATGGCACCATCTCCGCTCTGGGAGGCGGTGTAGTGCCCAGCACGGTCACCTCCGTCCAGGATGTGGCCTCGCGCTGCAATCTCGGCATCGAGGGACACAGCAGCAAGAAGTCAAAGATCTAGGGAGAATAGTTTTGACACTACGTTGAATTCTTAAAGTCAAATACCCAATTACCAATTAGCTTATAGTTATTTAGTTTCACTAACTTAAATTTAAGTTTATTATCCATTATGGTTTTGGAGTTGAATCGCATTGAAGTGATTTATTTGATTAAAGACAAGTTAATCTGTATAAATGACCCCGTAAATGAATTCGCAATCCCTCGCAAATGGAAGTTTTCCCTGGTCAAGAGCCGCTGATAACCGGAGGATATCTGCGGAGAGCTATCTATGAAAACTATCCAAGCATCGTCCATTATTAGGTTTGCATTAGTTGTACCATAAAGTATTGAATATTTTTTGTTTCCTGGAGTAATCTCCACGAAAAACCAGTTATAAAATGAACAAATAAAGTGAAATTATGCGTATATATTAAATATCTTAAAATGTTTTATTATTTTTACTTTGGAACTAAAGGATTACACTTTTGCTTAAGCAGTTTTGCAAATAGGCTACCCAAACAACACAATAACCTCGTTTTCTTTTTAAATGACAAATTTATTAAATGTATTTCACTATTATTTTGGAAACTTTGTTGAGAATACAAAGTCAGAATTTTGGTATTTTGATCAAAACTAATCACTATTTTCGGTTTGCAAAAGTTAAAATTAGTAATTTTTTAAATTTATTTCAACAGCCTTTAAAAACTCCATAAAATTGGGTTTCAGTTTAAACTGAATGAAAATGTAACTTTAAAAAAAAGCATAAGTTGTGAATATATCAAAAGTGGATCATATTTTGGTTGTCCAGTACTAGAATAATCCTGAAAAATAAAATGGTTCACTAACCAGTACAAAACATTCACATATGGATGGTTTTAACTATTTTTATTATTATTCCTGCGTTTATTCAGATTTATGCTTAAACCGATAAATTTTATTGAAATACATACGGTACCATTACACATACATATTTGTAGATTAATTTCAATTACTAATAAATCAGTCTATAATTAAAATATATGTTCGCTTAATGATTTCACGTGTGTGTGAGTGTTGTTGTGTTGCAGTGTTGTTGTTGCAGTTGTTTTTTATTTGTTTGTTGTTTCTTGTGGGGGTAGCTGCTGCTCGATGAGTTCGCAGATGACTCTTAAACGCTATGTACGGCAATTGTGGCAGGTTCCTGGCAAATGAGGAATTTCGAATTTCGAATTTGGAATTGGAAGCCAATCTAGCTAATGCTACTCGCTACTATACGACAATAATGTCAAATCAAATTTAAAGGGACAAACAATTGATAAGAACAGGACAATAGAATGTAGGTAACTCCAAGTACATTTAAACAAAACAAATTGGACGAAACGAAACCACAAATGTAAACATAATAGAAGGCAAACTCAACTCAAGCGCTGGGCCAATATTAACATAATCCATCTTATCTGAATTCCAGTTAAACAAATTACAATTTAATCAATATAAAGCTCTGTTTTCATAAACGTTCTCTCGGATTCACACGACGCGGAACAAGGTATTTGCATCTGCAACTGTATATAATCTGCTGTTTATATAATACGTAATCATAATGTTATCATTAATTCAATCGACTCTCGCCAAATGGATAATCGTAATAAAAACTAAGAAGCGAAATTATTCTACGGTGGAAAACGAATTTTGGCTATGAAGCAACGTAATTTAAAGAAGGGTATTATTAACAATACACACTCACAGCCACAGCCACACCCCAACCACCCTTCTACCCTTCCTCTCCTTTTTGCACTTTCCTCCTTAATTGTTTTGTGTGTTCAGTGTTTAGTGTTTAGTGTGTGTATATGGTGTGTATGGTGAGTGTGGTGTATGTGAGCAGCTGCATTTTGTTGGCAAGGCAATCAACATTACGTTGCGGACTTTCACATCCGCGGTATCTGTCTGTGTGTGTGTTTTTGTGTGTTTAGATGAGTTTGCAATGAAATCTCGCTTGAAGCTGTATACTAGCTGCCCCGACCTTGGCCCTTCTCTGCCTGGATCCAAACGCGCAAGCGAAGCCCGGATCTGAAGTGCCCCACCGGCTCCTATGAGCACTTGACACATGCCCCCTCCACGTCAAAGTCCAGGACCATGAGCTTGGTTTCCTCCGTTCCGTTGCGTGAGCCAACGGCACAAATGAGTTTGGTGTCGTTTGCCCTGAAAATACCATGCAATCATTATTATTATTTTATTAGCAATAAGCGGATTTTGTCTTATCCAAGACTTACCTAATCCGCCACACAACTCCGCCGGATCCACCAGAGTCCAGGGCCACAAGGTTACGTATAAAGTCGCCCGTCTTAACGTCCCACAACTTGACAGTGCCATCGTCGGAACTGGTCACCACAAATCGGGAATTAAACTGCAGGCAGGTGACCGCAGACTGATGCTTATTTGGACCTAAAAGGCATTAGAAGACGAGATGAGATTAGTAATGGTTCTTCGAAGTCTGTTTGCCAAACATTTAAATGGGTTTTATAACATAATAGTCATCCTAGACGGGCGGAAGGCCATAGTTGCTAATTATCTTAGTTAGAAGTTTGCTTTTAGTTTAAAACCATAAATATAAACAAATAAATAAACGTGTACGATTAGGAAAGATGAGGTTTTTAATCTATTTAAATATAACTATCCTTATATAAATAAATAAATATGATAGTACGATAAAATGGTAGGTGTTTAGATACATTTGTGTAATCATAATAAAATAAAGCTCCTTAATTCATTAAATAATTCCAAATAAAAGGATATGCTCATGACAATAAATGTAGTATATAAATGGTTAATTATAAACCAAAATCAGTTAGTTCTCGACTCACCCGACAGCGTTTGCAGACATTGTCCGGTTGTGATGTCCCACACCTTGACTGTGGAATCGGCGTTGCCCGAGACGAGAATGTTCTGACGCAGTTCCATGCCGGAGGTCAAACTTTGATGACCCATCAGGGTGTGCTTGCAATTGCCCGTCTCCACGTCCCACACGCGAATGGAAGTGTCCAGTGAGCCGGAGACCACGTGTAGGCCATCAAACTAAATGTTTTACAAATTGATTAGTACACAAACACTCTAAATATGATTTCCAAGCTTACCTGCAACGAATAGACGCGGTTCGTGTGCCCCTGCAGCGTGTGTAGGCACTCCTGCCGCTCCGGATGCCAGATCTTGACCATGTAATCATATGCTCCGGACACAATCAGCTTGCCATCGTACTGGACACAGCGCACTGCGGCCAAATGGCCAACCAGGACGTGCAAACAGGAGCCCTGTTCGATGTCCCAGACCCGCAAAGTTGCATCTCGCGAGCCACTGACCACCCTGCAAAGTAGTTCAATAAAAATAAGCACACGTTAGAGGAAACTTAGGTGTCTCTACTCACTTGCTGCCATGAAGATGCATGCACCGCACAGTGGACGTGTGCCCCTGAAGCGTGTGCACACAAGCACCACTGTCCATGTCCCAGACTTTGAGAGTGCGATCCGTGCTGCCCGAGATGATGATGTTGCCGGACATTTGGGAAGACCAAACGCCACCGGTGTGACCCACCAAGGTGCGCAGACACTAGGGAAACAAATAAATTAAGTTTTTAAGAGAGATTGAGACTGATTGAGACCTACCTTTCCATTCACCGCTGACCACACTTTGAGCGTATTGTCATCGGAGCCGGACACGATGCGATTGCCGGAGAACTGCAGGCATGTGATCACATGATCGTCGTGGCCCTTGAGAACCTTGGGCTTGCGCACCGGTCGCGACCGCCAGTTCATCTCGATGATGTGCTGGCGCATGTAGGCGGCCTTCCAAGGCGACGCAATGGGCGGCATGTTGCCATCACGTCCTCGCTTCGGACGATCGCTTCGTGGCTCGGCGAGGATCTGGGCCTTGCGGCACTTCTCCTTCCACAACAAGTTGTCGTCGCACAGGAAGCGCCAGCTGCGGCAGGTCTGGGCGGCCCTCAGCAAGTCCTTGGGCTCCAAATAGGATAGCACAAAGAGGGCCAGTTCCCGTGGCAGCAGGGAGATGAAGTCACGCTGGAACTGCGGCTCAATCACCTTCATCATGTGGCGCACCTGCGAGGGATCGCAGTGATCGATCAGGCGGTCCACGGCCAGCAATCGCTCAACGTGGGACCAGCGCTGAAACTGGGCCAACCAGTGCTGCAGCTCTGGCGGCGGATTGTCACGGGTCGGAACGGAACGAGGCGTGCGACGGCCCAAGCCCGATCCCGGCGAGGCGTTGGCCAGGTGCGACGAGGGCGTCAGCGACAGCACTGCCGTGGGAACGCCCGAGTGTTGCGAGGAGCGCGGCGTGGAGGCAAAGTCGTAGGCAATCCGCTTGCGGCAATTGTCGCTCACGCCCGAGCCCGGTCCGCCCACTCCGCCGCTGGACGAGATGGTCAGCGAGTAGTCACCGCCATCGAGCAGACGGCCCTCGTTGTACTTCCGCTTGCGCTGCTGCGAAATGAGCGAGCTGGGATTGGTCAGCGAGCAGTCGGCAAAGCCGGTGGCGGATGCGGCAGTGGAAAGTGACAGGGAGATGGGCTCATCCATGGGGTCCATGACGTCCAGGTCGAAGGTTTCGCTAAGACTGGCATTGCTGCCGCCGTAGCTGCTGGCGTTGCCATTCTGGCACGTGCAAATCTCCTCCAGATCGGAGCAATTGTTCTCCTCATCGCAATTGGCCCACGGCTCCTCGGCGCTAAAGTCGCCGGGCTCGACAAGGCCGCCGCCGTCTCCGCCGGCAGCTCCCTCCTCCACCACCACCTCGAGGTGGGCCACATCGCTGGAACCGTTGCGACGCTGCCGCACTGATGCCGCCGGCTGAGCTGCTCCCGCTCCGCTGGCAGCTGGAGGATTGCTGCGGGCCAGGAAACGCTCTTGAGTCTGGGCGCTGGCGTTCACCTGGCGCGTTGTCTTCGCCGTCGATGCAGTGGCATACTGACAACGATTGGAGTTGGACGCTCCAGCGCCGACGCTGGCGGAGGAGGTGGAGGTGGAAGCCGATGTCGAGGCCTGAGAGTCACCCAAGCAAGCGGCTCCGGCGGAACAGGCCGCCGTGGGATTAAGGGCGGTGGTGCGACTGCAACCACCTTCCTGAGAGGTCTGCGATCCCACCGAGCTGTAAGATACGGATGCTGTCACGTTCTCATCCGGCTCCTGCTGGCAGCTACCGCTGGATGTGGACGATCCGGATCCGGAGGTGGTCGGAGCCAGTCCTGGGTAATCATTCGAGTTGGTGTTGGTGTACACATCCGTGCGGGCTGCTCCGGTGCAGCTGGTCGACGACTCTGTGGATTTGGATGTGGAACTGGAGCTGCTCCTGTGCTGGCTGCAGCTGGAGGCGCCCAGCGTGGAGCCCAGATTCAGTTTGGCAGTGGACTTGCTTAGCCGGCTGTTGGTGTACTTGCGACTGCTCGTGGGAGTCGTCGACAGATCCTTGTAGGTGTACTTGCTGTCCGAGGAGACGGTGCGGCCATTGCTGCTGCTACTGGGCCAATCGTCGCTGTTGGCCGTGCCCGATCCATTGGACACCCTGCTGCCTCCGGCCATGGACTTGATCAGACTTAGATTCAGTTTGTTCTGGCTCATCATGGAGCTGGTGCGCAGGATGATGTCGCCCGTCAGCCGCTGCTCCGTCTCGAAGTCGCGCCGCTCGATCAGATCCATGGACTCGATGTCTGCCTTGGTCAAGGAGGAGCTGGAGTTTGAGCTGGAGTTGGATGTGGAGGCCTCCTCGGGGGCGGCGGCGTTGGCAGAAGCCGCCGGCGAGGGATTCGAAACGGCCGCATTGGCCGTGAGGCTCATCTGCTTCAGGCGCACGGACATGAGGCGGTCGTGCAGGGAGGAACAAGTGGCCGCATCGTCGCCCTCAAATGGATGGTCGTCCACGGCGGTGCCAGGCTCAGACTTGATACCTCTTACCAAAGCCAGGTTCTCCGCCTGTTCCTCATCGCCCAGCAAAAACTCATCGCTTAATCTTTTAGGCTTGCCTGTGAGCTCCGACTGGGATCCGGTTATGATCACCTGGCCGGGATGCGGCTGGGCCTCCTCCACGACGGGCGTCTCCAGGAAGATCTTGGATCCATCGGCCGCCATGATGGTGCCGTCGGCCAAAGCTAATTGTGATGTGTTGAGGCAGTCAATGGCGGCTACTCCAATATTTACCACGTCCTCGTCATCGTCCTCGATCAACTCCTCTTCATCCTCGTCCTCCGGCTCGGGGTCGTCCTCGTCGTCATCGTCGTTTATCAGGCAGACGACCGGAGGATCCTCATTATCCTCGTTAAAGAAACCCTGACGACTGTGTTCCGAGGAGGCAGGATGGCCCAATGGATGACCACCGTTCAAGGTGTCCGTGGAGGAGCTGTCTTCGGCAGCCACCACGCCCATGGTGGACGCCGCCCCCGCACTGGTGGGCAGTGAGTTGGAAGAGCTAATCTCAAAGGTGCTGGACTCGTCGTCCAAAACTACGGCAAAGCCATGCTGTGAGTTTGACGACACACACACGTCCTCCACATCCTCCCGCAGCGTTGACATAGATACAAAGGCTTCTCCGCCGGCTCCTGGTGATCCCGCTTCTGGTGACTCCGCTACTGTTGATCCTGCTTTCCGGCTGGTCGAGGCCTGACTCTTGACCCACGTGGAGGTGGAGCTTGTGACTGCTGACTGAGTACGCTCCCCTGCACTGGCCACGAATTCACTGCTAGCAGCTGGGCATCCTCTTTCCATAATACTTTTCAGGCATCAAAAGTGGACAGCACGCTCTCCTGGAAGGATAAATTATTCGGAATTGAGTTTTCTCTTGGGGAATAAACTAATTGCAAAGGCACTCTTCTGGAAAAGTGAACGATTTGGAAATGACTAATGGAAGTCTGGTGCTAAGGTTCCTGGGAAACTGAACAATTTTGAATAGAGTAAATAGAAGTTTGAAAGAAACGCCTATCTTAAATATTTGGGTAGAAGTGATTGGAAGTAAGGACCTGAAGCGCTGGAATTAAGAACAGACGCTACTTGGCTTCCAAAAACAGAGGGAATACAATTTTTCACCACTTACAACAAACGATCCTTTTGTGCCCTGAGAATCAAAGATGATCCGAAATTCCCACGCAACAAGCGCAAACTGATGGTTGCAAAAAAAATCCGAAGCAATGAAAAGCAGTGGGAAAAATTTGTTGTAAGCAGCCGCCTCTGCCGACGTCGTTGGAACTCGAAAAAGGAAATCACAAAAGTGCATCGGATCGGCGGAAGAGGCTAAAACGGCGCGAAGTAGAATGGGAAAAAGAAGACGAAACGGGTATTACAACAAAAACAAGACTGGAAAGAGAGACAGCAGGCACCAAAAAGGTATTGCGGAGAGATGAGGAGAGAAAAGAGCAGAGATGACGAGAGCGAGAAGTAACGGACGTAAGAAGAAGAAGCACCAAAGATACACAGCAGCCGCACCACCAACAACAACAAAGAAAACAACAACAACATCACGTACACCTTGCAATTCAAGCCGCTATCTTTTCCCTCCGCTTTTGACTGGATTGCAGAGATGATCAGCACGGGATGCAGTCACTGTGACCGAGAATAGCTGTCACTCAACGTTAAAGAGAAAAACAATTTGACTGACTGATTTGATCATAATCAAAATCTCTAACCTTTTAATAATAGTCACCAAAATGAGTCACATCTTTTGGCCTTTAAAAAAAATACATAGCTCATCATCACCAAGAACATTGACCAAAAACGTGATATTTTTTGATTAACTTTTTTTAAGTGTGTAATTCGCTTTTTATCATTTGTGTTTAGTCACATTTTAAAATTGGTTCGTAAGCATTTTTATAGGAATCCCACCGAAGCTAGTGATAGCTCAATAGTGCTTTCGAGTCACTGATCCTTGCCAGCTTGAAGTCACAGTGACTGGAAATTCGAAGATGCGCATCGCTGATGCTTGACAGCAGCTTGACTGGCCATCACATCCTACCAACACACACACACACGCACCCGAGAGAAAAAGGGATCGCTGCAGGCAGAGATTGAAAGAATCCAGGGACGAGAAGGAGGAGGAAAGAAGGCGGAGATCAGCCATTGCAGCGCAGCATCCGCAGAACAAAAGGGGCGAGATCACAAAGGAATTTTCAGCGCTCCTGCTGTTGCATCACTGGCGAAACAGATCAGATGTGCAGGCATTTCTCCCGAACATTTTCTTTTATTCTCTTCCAACCCTGCCCCCTCCCATTGCCAATGGCCCTTGGCTGTTGACCTCCCGAAAAAAACGTTTTTTAGGGTCTTTTCGGTTCTCCGCTTTCACACCGTATAGAAATACGCGTTTACCTGTGCCAAAGGACAATCGGTGATGCGCTCAGGAACATATTTTCTCCCTGTGGAAGGGGATTTTAACCACGGGTGTGGAGTCGTCATAATCGTTGCATACACACACACAGAGATAATAAGCAGAGACCTGTGGTCCCCCAAAAATAGATTACTTTCGTTGCAAATTCAGAGCAGAAATACGCGTTCCTTGTGGATTTCCTAACCCCACTTTTCTGCACCTGCAAATGCAGCGGATGGAAATGGAGATGGAGGGATAGCCCCATAATTCGTGGAGCAAACAACAAAAGAAAAATGTGGACATTGTTGTACACACAGGCAGAGCCATACACACACTCACATACTGCGACAGCAAAAGTATAAATGCGCGTGGTTCTTTCCATATTGTTTATAAACCTTTTTTAGGTAGCTTAAATTTAGAGGGGCCCTTGCAAACACACCTTGGTTTTAGGGGCACAATCTGTTTTTAATTATTTAACTACATAAACGCATGTAAAACTTTTTGCGTTTGGGCCCACTCTCACACACACAGGCGCACACACAGGCGCAGCACACACGTTCAATCGAATTTTTCACATACGTTTTGGGGCCTTTGCTCCTCGGAGAATTGCGAACTTTTCCTTTTTACGGCTTATTTCTCACTCGATCTATCTAATTATAAAGTCTTTAGATACGGGAATATGCATGCAAATTGCGGATTTGGACAGATTTTGGACCCGAAAAAAAAACTAATGCGGATCCAGTGTGACCGCCGCTCGACCGTTGAAATATACCACAGGAATTTAAAGTCGGGGTTAGAGATGTGCGTGTCTTTTTATATAGAATAGAATAAAAATCATTAAATAGATATAAAACTAGGAGTTAAATATCTTTGAATTGTTCCTTAAATAATTGGGAATTTGGCAAATAGTGCCAGCTGTTCATACAAATGTAATTTTGTGATTTAAGAGTAAGAGTTAAAATAAATAGTTGAATATTTATAAAAACCTTGTTGAATTATTGTTGTTATTAACAAATGATAGGTAAAATGTTAAGAAAAGACACTTCAAAATTTAATTTATAAATATATTCGTAGCAACATTTTTTATATTAAAATATATTAATACAAAGTTCTCAAACAAATTCTAAAAAAATGTTTTTTTTTTGACAAAACTATTGCAATTTGTTAGTGTACAGAGGGGGGTGTGGTAGCACTAGCATTTCAGTCCACACAATGTTTTGGTCACACAGGCACACATAAATTGAAATTTTCGAATTTCGACGGTCGCAATGAGTGAGGCTCTCGGAGATGTGGTTTCGGAATATCTGGAGCGAGGCTTGGTGCTGGTCATCGCGGACCTGCTCAGCCTGATCACGGTCTCGTCCTGTCTGGTGATCAAGGTGCCGCAAATAAATACGATACGGGCCAACGAGTCCTCGAAAGGTGAGAGTACCAGTACCAGAACCACCCACACAAATCCCTAACTCGTCCGCCCACTCATGATCTCAATCTCTGTGCTTCTGGATCAGGCATCAGCGTTTTGGGACTGTGTCTGGAGCTCTTTAGCTACACCGTGATGCTGTCCTACAACTACACCAGTGGCTATGACTTCCTCTCGTACATGGAGTATCCTGTTCTGCTGCTGCAGGAGTACGCCTTGATCTACTATGCCTTCAAGTACCAGGATCTGCTGGGCAGGAGGACGCAGCTGGTGGCCGTACTATATAGTATAGTGGCCACTCTCATCTACCTGAAGCTCTTTCCCGTTATCATCCTTACGTTCCTGGTGGTGAGTAAGACGGCAAAGTTATCACCTGGCCACTGATTAGGGCATTCTTGCCCAGATAACAGCTCCAACGTAATTCAAACCCGTTTGACACTCACTTCTCCAGTTAACTAATTATGTTTCCGGCAAACGGGTTTGCTTTGATTTATCATTTGTTTTAGTTTTTAACTGGGCAGCATCTTTGCTCAAGGTCATCATTGTTTGTTGTATAATATTTGAGCAGCTATTAATACCCTCGCCACTCGGGCAATTGATATATATCGTGGTATTTATTTAAATATTTGCCTTTCTCTTTAGCCTTTCTGCACGCCCATTGGAGCCACGAGTAAGGTGCTCCAGCTGCTGGCCATTCTGAGGACCAAAGATGCCAGTTCCGTCAGTAGAACCACCTGGGCACTCTCTGCCTTCACCAACATGAGTGAGATCACAACGTGCATTTACGTTTAAGGTCACCAATTAACCCGTACTATTATCTTGCAGCTCGAATCTACACGGTCTTCTTCCAATCTCACGACTGGATGCTGCTGTCCAACTTCCTGATTTCAACTTTCCTTAGCGCATCCGTTTTTGGAGCCGCCTGTTTCTACAAGAAGAAGGCCAAGGCGGAATAGTTGCCCACCATGATAAGAGGAGCTCAACATAGACAAACATTGTGCTGGCTGGAAATGCTTATCAGTCATTGTTTTAATTTAATATGCTTATCTGTTGAAATTGATATTACAAATTCTCGTTTGAATCGATAGATGTCACTCGTTTAACTGTCCGCGTAGAAAGCCACCACGATGGCGAACACAACTGTGAGGATTGATACTGCATAGATGGCCGTTCGCTGCCAATTGATCTTGGACTTGGCCGGACCCACATCTACGGTCTTGCGCTCCTTGTGTTTGCGCTTGCCGAACTTCGCCTCGAATTTCTCGAGCTCCATTCGGTTCCGCTCCTCCTCGTCGCGACGCTTCTGCTCCAGCTGCTGTTGCTCAGCCGCCTGGGCACGGGATTGCTCCGCTTTGCAGTTGGAGTCGCACTCCAAGGATGTCTGACCAGCTCGATGCTTGTCGCAGGCAATCTCCTGCTTGAGTCGCTTACAGGCGCAGAAAATGCGAACCTTCTTGCGGCACAGTTCGGGATTAGGACATTTGCTCGAGTGACAAATGGCTGTGCAGCGATGTCCACACGGATACTGGAAACGTATGGGGAATTAATTGAATGAGATATCATTTATCCAATATCCATATCACTCACATTCTTTAAACATCGATTTCCGCAGCTGCGTAGCTTTTCCCTGCGTTCAATAATCTCCTGGACAGTGCCCGTCTCATCGAAATACTCGCTGCACTTGTACACCAACTGATTGAGTCCACAGTGGCACTTGCTCTTCATTACAAAGTTGCAGGGCGCACAGGGCGGTGGATGACAGCCCTTGGGACAGGCATGAACACATCCGGTGGGGCGAGGAACGGAGCAACCCTCCTCGCAATTGGCACATCCAGCTTGCTGGGACATGTCCTTGGGCAGCTGCACGGAATGACAAACCAAGGAGCACTTGTGATTGCCGCACTTTAGCTGACGCGCACACTTTCGCTGGCAGGAGCTGGGTTTGGAGTTCCAGCACGGCCAGGTGGCCACTTCATGTCCTCCAATGCAGGTGACAACGACGCCTTCCTCGCAGCGGGGATGGGGTAATGCTTTATATTCATACTGTAAAACAAATAGGGAAAAATTTAAATACGTGTAGGTAGTGTTTTGAACAAGGAGCTAACCTTTTTGGCCTGTGGCCTAGCCTCTTTGGGTTTGTTTACTCTAACTGCCTCATGACAGCGAGCCTTGCAGATGTGTCCACACTTGCTGGTGTCATTGGGAAGACCACACACTTGGCCGCAAGGTGGACATTCGCCTTTGTGGCAGCGATGTTTGATAGCGTGATGACATTTGGCAGTAATGCTTTGGGAGATTGAGTTAATACTTAACCAGGACAAATAAGAAAAGTAACACCAACCGACAGAGTTCCAGGCACACGATGCGTGCACTTCTCTCTCTGCCACAAGGAACACTTTTCCTAGTTTTTCCGCAGCGACAGTTTATCTGAGATTCCAGCTTGCAAGGATAGCAAGGACCGTTGTGGCACACGGACTGACACTTGTGCTTGTTGCAGCTCAGCTGCTTGCCACAAATCTTCTCGCAGGGTGGACACTGGTCACCACAGCACTAAAAAAGCGATAGTGATAAATTATTTAACAAATTCAACAATCCTAAAATCATTTAACACCTTTCTATTGCAGGCATGTTTGCCACAATCACGTATCTGCTTGCATTTAGTCTCACAAGTGAACTCCTTGGAGCAGGGCAACTCCTTTTCATGCAGGCCACATCTGCACTTCTTTTTGGTTCTCACTGGACACTGTAAATATTTATTTTTAGAGAATTGTATTGTTTTCTAACTGAAAGTCTTACGGAAATGCAGGGACCACGATGACAACGTTGGGTGCAAGTGTGCTGGCCACAGGACAGCAGCTTTTGGCAAGTATCGCCACAGGTTTCTTCCGCCTCGCTACAGGGTCTTACTTGAGTCTGCACATATTAAGTTTTAAATTAGTAGAGGCTTCCTGGTAGATTATTAAGAGACATACATTCTTGCCACATGGACAACTCCTGACTTGGAAAGGACACTCCCCATCGCCGCATGATCCTGCATGGCAAACCTTTTCGCAAATATGCAAACCGCAAGTAAAAGCAGCTCCACATACCTGTGAGGAATCAAAAGTTAAACATGTTTCTTTTGATTATATGGGTATTCCTTACATTCTGACATTTCCACTTGCGATCGGAGCAGTTGACCATCTTGGATTCCCGCTGACACTCGCAAGGCTGCATGCTCTTGCTGGTGCATGGTGGACATTGGCCTGGTCGATGGCACTCCTGATTACACTTGTGCTTGCCACAGGCCAGCAGATCCTTGCACTAAAAGATGGGTTTATTGCTGAGTCGGTCAATAATACTATACTTAATATTACCGCTTGCTGGCACTTCCACTGTTTGTCAATGCACCTCATCGACCTGGGACTGGATTTTCCGCACAAACAGGAGACCTGCGCCTGCTGGGCACAGGGCGGACATGGCCCCGGATGACACAAAAGCTTGCAATCGTGTCCACACTTGGGCTGCAGCAACTTTCCGCAGATCTCGCCGCAGGAATGGGGCACCAGGAAGGGCTGGTTCTGGGGATTCACCTCCTTGCCGCAGAAGCAGTTGTACTGCGTTGGCTTCTCCGCCGGCTGGTAGTCCCTGCGGCACTGGGGACAACACCAGTGCAGAGATTTCTGGCGCTTGGGCGGCACAAACTCGCCCAGGTGATTGTAGTGCCCCTGGCTGGCCTGGCCATTCTGCTGCTCCGCCGCCTTCACCTTCATCTGCATCATGCTGTCATTGGCCCACCGCTGGATGCAGTTCAAGTGGAAGAAGCAGTAGCAGCTCTCGCACGACCAGATGGCCTCCACCCGGCGGATGCTCCCGATGCAGATGAGGCAAGTGGCTGCTCCGGAGTGCAGGGTATTCTCCAGGAAAGTGCTGGTCCGAGCCGCATCCTTGGAGCTGCCGGTGCTTTCCGTCGGCCGATAGTTCTTGTACAGCAGCTCTTTATCAATTAAAGAAAGTATAAAGCAGATTTAGTTGGTAGCTTTCTTCAATGACACGTCACGAGCAGCGGTAGATTTACCCAAAATATGCTGCTCATCCAGTTCGCCTTCGTCCTCGGAGCTGGAGGCATAGGTGTCCACCAGTTTCTGGGCTGCAGCCAGATTTTTTGCTTGCGCTTTATTGAATTTTTCCATTTTGAAGCCGGCCTTTTTGTCTATCAACTGGGAATAAGTTCTTGGGGGTAGAACCAGGGATGGAGAGCACTCTGATAAGAGCAATTAGGGGAACCAGTTCCAATTGGAACTGAAACAATTGAACTACTTAATTATGGGAACTTAAATTATTCAATTGGAAACGACAATTAAAATAATAAAACTTAAATTATTGCTTCTTGCATTTTAAAATTATCAAAGTTACATAGGCAATACGTAATACTAAAATTCATGGCAATCCTACGGAAAGACAAAAAAGAAATCCTTTGTTATCTATGTCAATTTGACAATTTTGATACCAAAGAGAAGTTAGAAATTTTAGAATATATTTCAATTGGAGTTATAATTTATAATTTAACTTTTCCAATCAATTACCGTTAAAAATACATACACTCCAGCCCTAATAATCGATGTGAAACATCTGTTTGTGAGTGCGACACCCTGGAACAGCTTTCACATCAATTACAACCAAATATAAAAAAATAGTTAAATATATATCCAGCGGCAGAAATAATACATACCGATACCGATCCAAGATGAGTTTCCTCAATTACGTGTTTGGCCCGAATCTCTTCATGGAATACCGGGGCGTCCCGGAGCCGCAGCGCAAGATGTACGAGGCGGGGGCGGTGGAGAAGTTTGGGGAGCAGATTCTATCGACGGTATGTGCACTCCGACCCCACGGAAAAATGGAAAACTAGAGCATATGTTACCTCTTTGCAGCTTTCGGTGATGTGGTCGGTGGGCTACTACACTTCCCCTCTCCTGGTCACCTTTCTCTACCGCCGTGGCTACCTGGTCACCGAATCGATGCCGACGCTGGCCAAGATCACCACCAGCGTGGGCCTCATCGTGATCATCTCCCTGGTGATGCGCGGCCTGGGGCGCAAACAGTCGCGCTCCTACTCCAACATGATGAAGGCCCTGGTGCGGGCGAAGGCCACCAAGTCGCCGACCGATGCCAACAGCGAGCTGCGCCGCTTTGACATCGAGTTTAACGCCTGGCCCGTTGACTTCGATGTGAAGGCTTTGACTGGGTACGTAATGGTTACCTTGGGAGTGGTTTGGAGTTACAACTTTACCTTTTCTAGGGACACCAAGAAGCCCGTGGTCACGGCCAGCAGGCGGGAACCGCTCCAACTGGCCACCCTGCCCTGCGAGGTGATCGCCTACCTGGCCATCAACACTTTTGGGCTCTCCATGATCTATCCGGGTTCTGTGAAGCTGCTCCAGAAATTCATGAGTAAGAAAGCTTTAAGGGAACTTAAGGACCCCATACAATCATACATTATTTATCAAGTTTCAACTTATGCGCATTTGCTTTGAAAGTTCATATATAGCTACACAAATATTAGTCATATTGCTTGTAACGTCTGTAAAAATTTTAGTTAGATAACCTAAAAACTAGTTTGTCTGGACAATACACACCTAACTTTGCTTATCATGAATGTATCTATTGTTTTTCTACAATTAACTTAAAAAAATATGATATGTATATGTCTTTTGCAGGACCCATGCTGATCTCCGGACGCGCCAAGCTCATCGAGGATGACAATGGCATCCGCTATAAGGTTAAGACCATCGACTCGAACGAAATCGACACGTTGTTTATCGACAACCGCAATGACAACGTGGGAAATGGCAAGACGCTGGTCATTTGCTCTGAAGGCAATGCCGGCTTCTATGAAGTGGGCATAATGGGCACCCCGGTGGCCCTGAAGTACTCCGTTCTGGGTTGGAATCATCCAGGATTTGCCGGCAGCACGGGCACGCCTCATCCGCACCAGGACAAGAACGCCATTGATGCTGTTGTGCAATTTGCCATCAATAATTTGGGCTTCTCCGTGGAGGACATCATTCTGTATGGCTGGAGTATTGGAGGCTTTAGCACATTGTACGCTGCATCCGTTTATCCGGATGTCAAGGGAGTGGTGCTGGACGCCACCTTCGATGATGTGCTGTACTTGGCCATTCCACGAATGCCAGCTGCTCTGGCGGGCATTGTCAAGGTAGCCATTCGTAACTACTGCAATTTGAACAATGCCGAACTGGCCAACGAGTTTAACGGACCCATATCCTTTATTCGGCGTACTGAAGATGAGATTATTGCCGAGTGAGTACCCCTTATGCGCATTTTACCAGTTTAAAATTATGAAAACCTTCTCAATTCGTTCAGGGACAACCGCATCGACACCAATCGCGGTAATTTCTTGGTTTTGTCAGTGCTCAAGCACCGGTATCCAAACATTTTTGGGGCTTCACAGTTGAACAAGGCCAAGGGCCTGCTTTCGAAGCCACTGGAACCCTACAGTATCCCCACCGCCGATGAGAAGCTATGCATGTCGCGCCTAATCACCTACGCCTCCGACGAGGGCAAGTCCTTCCCTATGAACATTGGAGCCGATTACTCCGACGAGGTGCGCAACCTCATGGCTGTCTTTTTGGTGGGTTCATTTGGACATCTAGACTGAATAGAAACTAATACTGTCTACCTTGTTTTTTTAGTTGCGCAAGCATTTACGTGACTACAACTCGACGCACTGCACCCAGTTGCCCGGGGAGTTCTTCACCATGCCGTGGGACATACCCACCGAGCAGGGATTCGTGTTCACCTAAGCCCAACCATTCCGGAGGTGATTTACGGCCGTATGCTTAGACTTAGTGAAATGGTTTTAGTCATTTTTGCATTATTCTGACTGCTTATTAAATTATTCAAACTGGGAACAGCCGGGAAGCTGGTGTAAAACTGGAGTAAAATTGTCTTATATACAAAATAAATGTCACAAGCTAAACTAATCTGGATGCGTTTTGGTGGTAAGTTTCTATTTCATTGTACAACTAAATTGGAGGGGGGAGGCAGTTCAACACTTAATTCCTATGAGTTTTTCTTGGAGCCACCGAAGCCGGAGAAGCCCATGATGGCGGCCATGTCGTCGGGCATGCTGCCCGCCTCGAAATCCGTATCCTCGGCCTTGCGCTTGCGCTCTTTCCGCTTCTCCTTGCGGTGCTCCTTGTAGCGATCCTCCTCCTCCTTCGCCTCGCGCAGCCGGCGCTCCAGCTCGTAGTCCTTCTGCTTCTCCTCCATCTTCTTCTTGTTTTGCTGGAAGCGCTCCTTCACCTGGTCGACGGTGCTGCGTTCCACCTTCATTGACATGCCCAGATTGCGCTGGTGCTTCTTCCCGTTGATGTGGTCCAGGAAGTTGATCGAATCCTTGACCACGCAGTCGCAAACGTTGCAGTAGTAGCCACCGGATTGCGAGGTGGGTGTGTTCTTGTTGATGACGACACTCTTGCCCAGCTTGCTGTCCAGGTCCACCTTGTAGTCGCGTCGCTTCAGGTTCTCTCGCTGCACGGGCTCTGAAAGAGATCGAGAATCATTGGGTTTGGAGGAATCCAAGGGAAACCCTTTCATCCACTAACCTTCTTCCTTGGGCGCCATCTGGTTGAGCAGCCGCTCCGCCGCCAGCTTCTCGTACTCGTTCTTGTCCCATTTCCTTCGGTGGTCATCAGGTCGCATCGTCATGGTGCCGCTGGGATTTGGATTGCTCTAAAATCTATTGTGTAAAACTAGGGGGAAAATTTGTAAATATTTTTGTTAGAGATGCGGCGGTATGCGCTCGATAGACATCGATACTATCGATTTAATCATTATCGAGTAATCGAGTTTGATATTGGATAAAATTTGAATTTTAAAGAAACAATCGAATTTTAACGAAACATTTAAGTTCTTACGATCCCTTGCAACCCGTTTCGAAAGCAATCTGAACTTCAAATTTATAATTGTTTTTTAAACTCTTTCCGGTTTCAAAATAACCAATTGTTTGTTAATTTTCTTAATAAATTTATTTATTTTCCTATCAAGGCTTACAAGGCCTATTTTTCCAAGTAAGAATCCAACCTGGCTTAAGTTTTGCTTTTGAATGAAAACAAACTAAATCTGGTAAATCGCTTGTCAAGTTATGACAGCAGAGCTCATTTGGAAAACTTACCCATTAAGCAGTGGCCATTCAAAAATTAATTGCATAAGCAGTGCTATTTTTTGTTCCAGCAAGCAGTTTGACGGGGAATGGCAACCTGCTTTTTGAAAATTGTTATCGACAATTGAATGTAAGCAGTGAGCAGTCTTAGGCGATAACTTATTGATTTTTCATATACATCAGCTAGGAAAAAACGGAAGGTTTGAAAAATACCGTCAAAACCATAAAAATGGGAGCCGCTTTCTTTCCCGTGCTGTTTTTCACCGCCTTGTGGGGCGGCGTGGGCATCGCCATGCCCATAATGACCCCCAAAGGACCTCACCAGAACCTGATTCGCTGCATCCTGATGCTGGCCGCCGCCTGCTGCTGGCTCTTTTGGCTCTGCTGCTACATGGCCCAGATGAACCCGCTGATTGGACCCAAACTGAAGCGGGATGTGGTGGCCATGATCGGCAGGTCCTGGCACAACGAAATCGTGGCTGGCTAAAAAGGATTCTAATTAATGAGCAGTTTTAGCCAACTAAAGTATTTCAGCAAACTTACCAAATAAACTGTTTATATTGTGTTGTAAATAATATGTGCAAGTACCCAATGTTCTGAACTGTTAGCTGTTTAAAATAATATTTATATATATATTTATTTGGAATATTTTTGTTTAACTAATTTCATGCAATTTTTATTATTAACTGAGTCAAAGTTAAAAATATAACAAAAATGAAAAAAGGAGAAATAAATAATTATTGTCACAACACAAATGTGTTTTATTTTTATTTTAGAAACCTTAAAACATATTCACCTCGTAATATTCGATTGTAATCGAAGAGGTTAAGAACAATTTAGTAAAGTATAAAAACATAAAGAAATAATTTCTTTTGAGTAAAAACAATTAAGTCCATAAATAAATTTCTAATCTAAACAAAAGATTACATTTATACTTAAATAAATTCCTAAAATAAGAAAGTATTTGGTCATTCCAAACAAAGCTATACAAAAATTTTGTTTTCAGCTTGCAATAGTAAATATATTTTGATTTTGTTCAAAACTACTGCAGTAGCCAGTCAACAATGGAAATACAACATTGAAGGCGATTTGAATAACAGAAGAATAACGATACTAACTGATAAAGGGAGAGCCAAGTGGAAGAGAGGAGAGAGTTGGAGAGAACCAACTCCTCTCTTTGGAGCCCATCTTCATTTCTCTTTTCCTTTCTTCGGTTCTTGGAGGCCAGCCAACTGAGATTTGTGGCCACCGTCTTCAGTTCACCTCCAGTCACCGTCGCGATCAGTCGGCATTTCAAATCCGTGTGCTCTCCGCAGTTTCCGAAAGCAAATACCGTGAATGCCCCAAACCGATCGGAAATATATCCGTAAAATATATAGTCGATGCTGTGCAACATTTGTGATTGAATTCAAATACAAATCGATTGCAGGAAGTATTTCCTATTCCCCGGTCGACCTCTTTTCAAATGGAACCAATTTGCTCGAACAACGGGGGACGATAATTTAGCAAAGCCTGGCAGGTGAGCTTACTAGGAATTTACAACTTAATTTGCCAGATAGGTGCTCGGCAGCAGGATCACTCGACCACAGTCACCCTAAGACGCGAGTTGGGCCATAAACTAGTTAGACATGCAATAAAGCAGTCCCGGCCAGCAGAAGGTCCAAAACTGGTTACATTTCGAAGTAATTCTCCAGCGTAAGAGGTAGAAAATGGAAGATGGAGTGTTCAAGCCCGGCCAGCAGCAATAATCGCGCACAAACGAGCTGGCAAAGCTACGAAATTATGGATGTTAAAACGAAAATGGCAATAAAAAAAAAAGGGGCCCAGTCGCGAGGCCCTCACCGAACAACAAAAACCAGTCTGTAATAAAAGAAATTAGAAATTATAGTGAGGCTCCCCCCCCCGAAAAAAAGGGCGGCAAGAAGCAAAGAGCATTCCGAGCAACTCCGAAACCAACTGGCACCGATAAAAGCGTTGAGAATGGCTAAAAAGGTGGACAGGTGATCGTCCGTCCACAAAGAACTCAAAAACAAAAGGCCGGAGAACGTTTTGTTGTCTCCTCGCGGTCTTTTTCTTGGTGTCGCTTTATATGTCGCTAACCGCGCAATTACCACGTTCATGAACTGGGCCAATTGACAGTTCAGTGTTCACTGTTCAGTGTTCAGTTCACTTTAGTCTTTCATGGCCACTGGCCCCAGATCCGTTGCACTAAGCTCTCGGATCCCCGGAATCGACGGGGATCGTGCATCGCGGGAGGAAACTCCATCTCTATTATTCTCCGCTCCCACTAACCGCTATAAGATGAGTGGGTCGCCCATTATGACGGTATGGACAGATGAGGTCGCATCGATAGCAATCCAAAGTACGGGGAGATTAAAGATCCATAGCAAAGCCATATGTTATTTTAATTTTATAACCAATAGATAAGCCAAAAATATACAAATTTCTAATTGCAATTTAAACTAAAATAAAATAAATAATTTAATTTTATAATAAATTTAAACATTTTATTACATTTTTTAAACATTTTAAAAGAAGTTGGTTTGCACAAAAAAAAAACGAATTTTCAACTTAACAAGCTTTTACTTTACTTTTATATTTATAGCCGAATTAGTAAATGGATGTAAAACTTTTGTTAAGCTTTTACAACAGTAATTTAAAGATTCTTAAGCAATTAAAATTTTATGGGCCCCCCTGGTGTGCTATTATTTCGACCACAGCTGTGCCCATTAGCAATATGATCGTTATGCATGCGCCTATCTATGCCGGTTGCGGAAATTGATTTTTAGACGCAGTTAAAGTTTTAAGCATTTAATTTTACAGTTCTCGTGCTTGAAAGCGGGGACAGGAAAAGGCCGTGGCTCTCGGCACTCATTTTTTGACCCAATTCGAGGTGGGGCACCCAGTAATAACCGACAATTTACGCAAATTCTCCAACGATCCGATCCGATCAGATCCAAACTGAACTGAACTGACTCATTGATAACTGCAGTCAGTCGGTGGCGGAGAAAGTGCCAAAAACACTGACTCAGCACGAGACAGTCGAGACAAGGCCGAGATCCAGACAGGTTGCCAAATCCACTTCCAAATCCGAGTCTGCATCCGAATCCAAATCCGAATCCGAATCCTAGACGCATAAACACACCCATTTCTTTTGCTCTTTCTGTCTATCTGTCACCATGGCATTTTGTCTGTGTTTCTCCCATTATTTTTGGATTTTTTTTTTTATTTTGACAATTTTCACCTCAAATTAGTTTCACTGAGGCAATGAAAATTTTCGTTTTTTTTTTTCGTCTGTCGGAAGTGGATCAAAGACACACGAAATAGAAATGCGCAAAACCAGATTGAGATTGAAAAATTATGTACATTTTTACGAGCATTTCTCGGGTGTGAGTGCTGGTTTCTGTTTCTGTTTCAGTTTCGGTTTATTTTGATTTCGTTTTCGTTGTCTTGACTCGAAATTATTCATTTACGAGTTAATGAAACACTTTCGCTCGTTATAAGAGCCGGTCAAGAGTCGCAGTCGCGGCCCGAAAATCTCGGAGATCTCAGATCTTTGATACCGCCGCCTCCACAAAATTAGGCTTCTCTTGGATTCTCTTCATTGCCAGCAAATGATTCTGCGTTGAGAATCGTAAATTGGTCAAGAAATGTTGTTCATCATGAAGATATACGACGACTGGCCCATATTGGCAGCCCGACTGATCATCCGTGCCGCACGATTCTTCTGCTCAAAGCCAAATGACAGAAGAATCAGAAGAGCGGAGTGGAGTGAAGTATACTGGCCATCAACCATCAGATTGATCTCTGCAGCTGACTTCGTGCCGGGGCGAAATAGAACATAACGCTAAGCTGCGGCCAAATTGCATTCAAATGATGTAAAATCGGCTCTAATGGGCCGATCTTTTGTTTCGCCTGCCAAGAGGAAAGCGACCTCAAATGCAAGAGTTCGTTGCGGTAAAGCGAATAAAGCTCTTGAGTGCACCATGAAAAAATATTGTCTCTCCTTTATTGAACAAAAGAAAAAGAGATAAAATTAGTTTTAATTTTTTTGATATATAAAATATTTTATGAAAGGGTTCCATATACTTTAGTTACAGCTCGAGTAATTTTGTGGACGACTAAGTTCGTTTGCACCATGTAGCTTCCTTTGGGAACAGGAAGAACAGCTGTGACCTGGTGATTTATGTGCTGTACATTCATTTTGTCTACCACAAGATCATGCTTAAAATAAATTTCTTATTATATATTTACTTAAAACTTGATTGATCATATATTTACATTATAAGGGCAGGAATGGTTCACATTGGAGACGTCTTTAATGAAGTCATAGATGAAACTAGCAACAGGATTGGAACTAGGAGTCTTCAAGAACTTGCAGCCATCAATAGTGATATTGTAGAGAAAGGGCTTATATCCATTAAGGCGTTTGTAGACTCCAATATTAATCTAAATTGCATTTTCTAAGTTTTATGGAACTTCTAAAATACATGTATTTTGTTGCATACCTTAACTGTTGTAATGGGAATTTGAAAGAATTTTAGCTTTCCGGAGAGGTATTTAAAGGTTCGGTTTACAGACTTTATATAGCAATATTCGAAATCGCAGAAATTCTTGTCCAGAGATTCACACTGTACATTTGTGAGCTCAACGAGGCAATATACCTAAAGGTATTGTTAAAGGGATTATTTTTAATTGGAATGCTGTTTTTTTACCTCTATGACCAAGGATGATGTAACCAGGAACAGGGCAATGAGAAAATTTAGCTTGTTGTCCGTCATAATGTGATGAATTTACGGCAGCTAATTTAATAATGTTGAGCTTGGTTTAACCGAGCAATCATTAATAAATAATTTCTTGTTTACAATAAAGTAATTATATGGGTTAAAAAATCGATAAATCGATGGAAGTTGATAACAACCAGCTTTATTTATCCGTCCATGAATATAATTATATATCATTAAGCCCAGTACATTTCGGGTATTTCTAAATTTGACTTCACTCACTTTAAAATTTGTCACGAAAGTGTTACCTACAATTGAGTTATAGTAAACTCAACGAGAAAATACACCTCAAATTGTTCATCGTCAGAATAACATTTACAAAGGTATGGGAGGTACCTCAAGAATCAAGAATGTAGTAACCACAAGGTAGAAAACGAATAAAAAAAGTTGCTATCCATCATAATTTTGGAGTTCAAAAAAATCAAACTAAATATGTATATACTTGGCACAATAAAGAATTATATACGAAACACAATATAACGATATAACCAAACGTTATTACGTTTTGGTAATTATAGTTATGGTTAATATTTTGATTTATAATAATAAATTGTTGCTAAAATATAAATAAAAGTATCATAACAAGTCGGTTCTCTTGATAGAACAGCTCTTTTACACTATAATTATTTCATTCAGTTTACTAATAAGAGTATAAACCTAATAGCTAGTTAAAGGGTATAAAGTTTATTTAATTCACATAAAAATAATTGGTATCATAAACAATATTATTTGCTATAAGCAAACAAAGCCACTTTTTATTTTTCTGCGTGTTTGAGTTAGATGGAAAGCATTTTCATGCCGAGTAGAATGGAAAAGCATTGGTCTGATGCGAGTTGCTGTGGGTATGAATCAGATCGTACGGGTTGGTCTCGAAAAGAGTAGAAGGAGTAGCTCTCCACTGGATGTGCGTGCCTCGCATGTTGATCGTGGCACTAATTGCAGTTCGGCTTCTTATCCGCCAAGTGCGTCGATGCATACTAAGCTGTCTACCATATGTTGACATTTGCATTTAGACACGGCTACTGAGCCACAAGCCAAATAGAGTTATTCAGAACAAGTTGGGTTTTTCACTGCCACGAAAGAATATATTTAATTGGTTTACAATTAACATATAATTAAAAGGGGTGCTAGAAAAAAGCTAATGAAATTACTTAATTTTATCGGAGACTATAAATGTATAACTAAAAGAGACACACATTTTATGGTTAAGTAATAACTTGAAAAGTTTTATCAATTTACAGATTTTCATCAAATATTTTTAGTAAATACAAATTTATTTAATTATTATCATCTTATTACTTTTGCTAAAGCTTAGCTCTAATAATAAATCCGTATTTCAAATTAAAATCTAATCTAAAATCTTTAATCTAAATAATTAAGACTTTTAGTGAGAATTAGTTTCTTTTTAGTTTGAGCTAAAAGCACTTCCTCTTAATTTGGATCGGAAATGAGAATCTGATTTCCAGATACCCCAGCACTAGATGAGATGATTCCACAGATTTTATTAAAGCTCTTCTAAGTAACATGGAACGAATTCACCCGCTATATTCAAGTAGACTTCCCAGCTTGGCTGACAAGTAGCCCTTCCGGCATTTAGCACTCACTGTTGTTAATACTGTTACCTCAGCCTAACTGTTCTGCCCACCTGACTTGACACATTTCACCTTCGATGGGGCGCCCTGTACAGTCCGTCCTCGACCAGGTACTCTAAACGTTCTACGGACAGTGAGTAATCAAGTTACCGAATAATTCTCGGGGGAGCTCACATGTGGGAAAAGCATGGCGCATTTGTTTGTTTTTAATTAGTTTGGTCGTCGGTTAAGGCGTAACGGTGAATGCTTTTAATGACAATTCTCCACTATCCGCTCTTCGTCACTATGTTATTATATATTTTTTATGTTTATTCTCTTCGTTCTTGTCAACTTCTTGCCGCTGTTTGTCACAGAAATGAAATGCACTTTTAGTTCCGCAATGAAAGATCTTTACTTTGTGCCGTCGATTTGTATGCCAAGTGGAGGGGTATATTTTCCTTCTAATACCCCTCAAGTATTCTCCTTCTAAAGTGGTTATGCTCCAGTAAGACTTTGGTAGCTGGCTCCGTTAGAGCGATTACGAAACTGCAAACGCTGCACAGATTGCTCCCGACGCATACATATTTATGCATTAATGACCATAAACAATTTAATTAATTTATTATACAATTAGTGGCAGCGTTATTGTGTTCAGTCATTAATCGTGCCTTTGCGTATACAAAACAGTGCAGATCGGGCTAGGTTTTATGAGGTACTTAAGTTTCTTAAGAGATTATTTGAAACAGAAATTATCATCTTAATCATTTGATAACATTTTGCATATGTTTCATTGTATCAGATATATTTTGATCATTTAAACCAATTATATTATGTTATATAGCTTTAGAGAAACCAATAAGTAAAGGCTTTTGATTTAAGCAATTAGAGTTTTCAATTGATTTCATTAGCTTAATATTTGTTTAACCCTGCTATTTTCCTCACAACTTTTCACTGAATTTCATAAAGAATGACTACTTTACTGTCCGTTCTGTTTACATTAGACTAGTTATCTGATTTTCATTTGCGCTCTTCGTTGCCTTTCTTCTGGCAAAGGAAAAGAAAGCAAAGAAAGAAGATTGCATAAATCTGCACACTAGCCTGCTAAATTGAGGCATCAATTATGAAATATGGCTAGCGGTTTTCGAGTCTCCATAATGCGGCTGCCCAAAATAGAAAAAAAACGCGACTACCAATTGGCAATCACTTTCCAAACTCAAACAACGGCCCGCGTGTAGATAAATAATCAAAAATGCTGCATTGTTTGGATGCGTCAATGAGCGGTTCCTCTAGTTTCCGATGCGTTCGGAATAAACTTTCCATTTCACCGTCGTTTTCTGATAAGCATCCATTGACATCGATGCCTCACCTGTAAATAAAAAAAAAATAAACCCCGCCCCCCAAACACCTGTCACATTTCACTTTCTTCGACATTTTGTCGGCGAAGCTATTATGATTGAAAGTGGCTGGGAATCTTAATCTGGCCGAAAATCGCGTCGAAATGCCAACGCATTTGGCCAGGTTAAACGTGCCAACGGGTTAATGGCCGACTTCCGTTAGGCATTTTTGCGGATATATACAGATATATAACGAGTATGTACCCACAGACCGACAACTGTCTAAATTTCCAGATCAAATTCTCATCAATCATTCTTTGACGCTTTTTCGTCCAGCAATTTCACCGATAGAGAAAATCGGCTAATGCGAGAAATTTAATCAACTTAAGCGTGGCCCGCGACGTCTTAATACTTAATGCCTAAATCGAAAAAAAAACACACACACACTCTGTGCAAGTGAGTGTGTGCCAGTATTATTTTTGTATTTTTCGTTAACTTTTTTCAAGCGGCTCAAACGCAAGTCAATTTATTCTTTCTTTCTCCAAACACTAAAACGTAAATACACCTGAGGTCAAATTATTGGATTTAAAGTTGAATATAAAAAAAATATTGATGTCTCAACTTTTGAGTGTTAGATTATATATACTTTTTAATGTTTTTGGAGGGCAAAATATAAGTTGATTTCATCAGAAGTCTTAAGTCTGAACAACATTAATACATTATTATTGTAACAAAACTCAATTAAATAGCAAATGTCACTAATATAAACAGGTAAACATTATTTAATTAAATTAAGCTCCTAGAGTCAGAATCATTTTGTAAAGAATAAAGCAAATATTTTGCCTAACATTGTTGTTATTATTTTTGAATAATTCTAGTTATTCAGATGTCAGTTATTGAATAGAAGTGAACACTTAAAAACGTAATTAAAAAACACTAAAATATTTGTCTACTAAATTTAGTTTAAAATTAAATTAATTTGGAGTGGCAAAATCGTAATAGATTTCACTAAAGTGCCACCAAATGTATTGTCCAAATTTAAATCTTTTAAAATTTAAGATAACGGGATCATTGTTTTGACCGCCATTGTAGCTACGTACTGGATGACGGGCGTAAGTTACCAGTTTTGGTTTTGGCCGTCTCCGGGCTTTTACTCCACCCCCTTTCATTCATCGTGCTCCGCGCATGCGCATCTAGGTCAAAAGCTGGTGGCCATGCCTTCGCTTTGGGCATCCCAATGACGATAACGATGGCGATAGCTCCCCAAGCGTTCTAACTGTCTTGGGTGGAGGGTACCTGGTACCAGAATATTCCCCCTGGAGCCCAGCCATATATGTATGTAGACATATCTCTACATGTGTTGCTGAACTCTAATTGCACTGGTTCTTCAATTTACCTCTTTTTCTGCCAGCTTGGGCGCGTTTTTGGCGATCTTTTTATTAGGCAAATGGGTTTCCGTTCCATTTCAATGGGAATTGGTGGCGATGACAGAGATTCCGGGTCTGCGTTTACAGTTAATGGGGATTACCATTAAATAATAGATGGAAAGATTTATGGGTCCTCGAAAGCTACTCACTTACAAGTTAAATCCAGATTTATTTCATTTGAGTTATTACAAAAAAGAGCTTAAAAATGTTATTTTAAATGCTTACAGTAAATCAATTACTCACGAACATATGTTGGTCATTTCCAATAATATATATGTCAGCTAACAAAAATAAAAATTAAAGTCTTTTCCCAGACCCTTTTCTTATCAATAAACTATGTTAAATTTTGCATAATCCCCCAATTAAGTTTGAGTTCGATTTCTGATGACCCAACCATGAAGCTTCTTTAGACCTGATTATTATTCATAGTATCCAATTAGTTTCTCTCCGCCAGCCAGAGCCCATCATCAAGAGATTCCTAAAAATAACAGAACTTTTACTTTTGCCAGCTCGAAGCTCAGCAGGCCCAGACCTCTGGAAGTCATCCATCCAAAGAGCATCCAATCCAACCATCGTTGGCGGTTTTCTGCCCGCGGCTTCCCGCACCGAAAACTATTTTTACTCACGTTTCTCTGCGCCTGAACTTTGCTTTTGATTGCACATGTACAACTAAACCATACATTGTGGCTTTATAAATGCCGAGATCTTACATGTGTATATGACGGCGGAACAAGCCATAACCTGGCCCCATCGCATCCCATCTTGGATGTGGATGTGAATGTTGGAGAACTGGAGAACTGGAGAACTGGTTTCCAAAGCCCACTCCATCGCAAGCCCATCTGCTGTGTACTTAAGCCATTCGAAGGAGGAGGAGGAGTGGGTTCTTTATGCTGGAGCATGAATGCTTCCCATGAAGTGAAAATTCCAAATTTGTAGGGTTCAGCCAGTGAGCGTATCAGAGTGCCGGGGAATTCTCTAATTAAAGTTTTTTGTTTATGCCACTGAGAGCTTTCGCTTTTTTACGACTGGTCACCGAAGAGGTCTTCACTTTTGACCAGTCTGGTTGTTCAATTAATTACCAAATTTATGTGATAGCTTCTTTCATTGAGAAGGTGGAACAAGGTTGGAATTTTTATATGCATGAGAAATGTCTCCATTTGTTGGGGGATAGGTGCTATGGCATGGCATCTTTCCCAGTTATATGTTCATACAAATTTAATAAAAATGTTCAAATAATAGACCAACAAAATATGTTTAGTTCAAATTAAATAAAAATATCTCCTTGTTTCTTTCTTGTTTTTGTATGATCTGTAAAAACCAATTAAAAATTAAGTTATGACATGTAAGGAAAATAGAGAAATTATATTTATAGAAATTTGATAAAAGAAATTAGGATTTCACTTACTTATTTATTAACCAACTGCGAAATGTGTTATGATAAAGATTGTGAAATTCAAATAAATTTAACCTAATCAGCTATATTTGTATATATTTTCTTTGTGTAAATAAACTCCTTGGAAAAGTTTTAAGTACTTTGGGAAATGCAAATCAAACCGGTTGACGGCATGCATATCTCATGGCTATTGTGCACTGTTCTTTTCCTCTTTTCCCTGGCGAAAAGTGAGAATTTTCGTTTGGCTAATGGGCTGGCAAACAGGATTAGCCGGTTCTCCGGCATGCTGGCCCATTAGCGACTTTTCCACAGCCCGATCCCCGAATCCGATCCCGAGCACGGATCACTCAGGCCCACTTGAAGTGGACCCCAAAAGAAAGCAAAGTCCGAGAACGAAAGTGAAGCAAACCGCTAACAAAGATTTCCCAAAATGTTTGTATCTTTTCAGAACCTGCGATTGCAATTGTACTATATTGTACGGTGGCAAAATGGATACCGTCTATGGAACAAAGAAATACTTCCAGAGTTTATCCGGCGTGAGTGATATATACAGGGCTCAGACGTGTCGGCAAATGGTGAGTAATGCCCATCGTTTATCACTTTTGGGCACAAAAGGTTTAACAGTTATACAACGATGATTTGATTAGCATTTCTAGAATAGAATCGAGGTCTCCCAAAATCTCTTTGTCAATAGAATTGTTACATCAACTCGTGTCGGCTTTTTTTTTTTTTGTTCGTGTTACAAACGAACGCAGCTTGCATATTTATTTATTCATTTGGATGTTTGTTTGGGACCTGCGTCTCGGAATCGAGCTGTTTGCATTCCTCATTTACCAACAAACTCGAGAGTCGGAACAAAAAAGATACATAGGTACGTGTAACTAGCGAGCCAAGCACGACAGAAGAACGTTCTAAAAGGTGAATGACTTTCTCTGGCAGCCAAGAAAGAAGAGGCAACGAAGAACGCAGAACGCAGAAGAGAACGCAGAAGGAAAGAGCCAAAGGCAGTGGCAATTTGGCCAACAACCGAGTTGTTTGGCAGGGGGCCAAGCGGAAGAAGAGAGCTCCCCGGTAGCAAGAGGGAAACTAAGGGAAATGCCCTGCAGCTAACGAATGTAAAATGGTAATCAAGAAACAATCAGACTTTCCCATAGGCCCGTCGGGAATCTCCCCAAGCAATTGCACTTACACCTGAGGTCGAGTTAATAGCCCACAGGCTTCTAATCAATCAATCTTTCTTTCTTTCCAATTAAAAGTAAGGTTTAACATTTGAAAAGATATATGTATTTCCTAGTAATTAATTTATGATCACATTTCAAATAAATTTTAATTGTTTGTAATATAAATGGCACCTCTTAAAGACTTAAACAAAAAAAATTTTTTACTTGAAAATTTTTTTAAAATATTTTAGTGTAATTTTTTGTTGTTTCTCAAATTTACAACTCAAATTAAAACTTAAAAGATATGAGTATTTGTGTATTATTTATAGAAACTGAAAAGATAATAAAAATTTCTTTAATTGAGTTAAGTCTCCAATGAACAGTTTAGGTGTGTCTTCAATACTTTTTAATTAGATGTCAATTTTTTCTTTACCTATGTCAATGTCAAATCAAAAGACTTAAGTAAAAAACTTGTTTATGGAATCAGTAATGAAAATGCTCCAACAAAAAAGAATGTGCTGATCAAATAAATCGAATAAAAATTAAACATTTACACTATTAATAGAAAAAAAAGATATCTTAAATGTTTTTATTTTATTAGAAACTATTATTTTACTACTACAATTTTTCAAAGAAGCATATCTGTAATTATTTGAAAGTGCTAATTATCTGATTGCAAGTGTGCCCAAGAACCTGCGGAAGTTAGCCAGATTCTGAGAATCTGACCAGGTGCAATGACTTTATACGACTTCATACTCCACACTCGCCAGGCTAATTAAATGCGTTTTCCCAGCAGTGTTAATGAGATGCATTAACAAATCATGACAAGTGCTCACCGGTGATAGCGATTCTGACATAACGCTGGGAAAGTTTAGGGGGAAGCTTGCGGTTGTTCTCGGCGATAGCGCAAATTGAGTCCAAAGTGGGGCCGTTAGAGGCCAACTTCTTCCAACTTCCGTCATCTAGATTGGGGACTGGAAGTCGCGATAGAAAGTGGCCAAAGGGTCGAGAAAGTTGTGCGACTTCGGGCGACTAAATGTCTAATTAGTGGCCATCGGGATCGATTACTCTGGCATACTTTGGAAACCCAGTTAAGAACAGACATCGGACATCTTCTTCATTTGCAGAGTGCGGATTATACATACCAGAACACAGTTGGCCGGAGGTCTCAGCTTGGGGCATACTATCACATGAACAAGCAGCCCTCGTACACAAATGAGCACAGTCTAAACAGTCAATATGGATACAATACGTGGGGCATCTGGCGGGATGGAAGGAACATTGCCCCATCCACGTTCTCGGCCAAGACGCATACTCAATACCCCAAGAATCGATCCTTCAGCATTATCCTGACCACGGCTGCATTCATTGTCCTGCTGGCCGTCATCTCCATCGCCGGATTGGCCTTCTACTTTAGCTCAATTAAGACCACACTGGAGGATCGTAAGTAAAAGGAATATATAGCAATTTCGGGCAGCTACTTAGCTCTTTATTTTTTCTACAGCTATTATGGGCTTCGAGGGTTCTTTCCGCATTGCCAAAGGGGATCTCTTCTCCACGGGTCTGAAATACAATCACACGACAACCTACAAACAGAAGATTGATTTCTACAAAAGGTTTGTGGAGCGATCGATGATGGATAATGGACTGCAGCCACTGCGCACTGATGTCTGGGGTTTCGGAGAGGGTCCACTGATAAAGGTCTCATTTCGGGTGTTTCTCGACGTTCGTAAACTACCACAGTAAGTAAACTATTCTCTGACATTTTAAAGATTAAAGATTTAATACTCTGTCCATTATAGAAACATTCTGAGCGTGGAGGAGTACATTAAGGAGTCACTGTTCCTGGAAACCTCTGCCACGAAATCCCTGTATCGCTCATTGCGTTTGGATACAGAATCGGTGGAGATAAAACGCATAATGGATGAGCAGGTGGTGCGATCTGCAGCTATATTAAAGGAAGCCGTAAGAAAAGACATTTCTTTAAGTAAAAACCTATATAACACAAGTTCTTCTTTAACAGCAAACGGTGCCAACTAGTCAAACCCAGTTGGAAAAACGACTCATGAAGAAGGGAAGTACTCCGGCACCAGCTCCACTTCATCCAAAACCTTTGGGAAGCAATACCACACCCAAGCCGAAGAATCCTCTGTTGCGCAGTCATTCCGCCGATGAAGAGCCAGATATTGATGTCGAGAATGCTCCGGTTATCCAGGGTTCGTTTGAGGGATCCTTTGAGATCACCAAGACGGATGCGGACATTGCCAGGAAGAAGACTCCACCCACGAGAGCCTATCAAGCCAGTAGTAGTAGCAGCACTTTGCCACCCAAGGCTATTGCAGTGACACCCTTTTCCTTGAGGGTGAAGCCCAAGAAACCGAGCATTGAGAAGCTAACGACGGTGCTTCCGCAGCAGGTGCCGACTGGAAGTCCCACTAGCACCACCAGGGCAACCACTAAAGCCACCAAGGCAACCACTACTACGACAAAGAGAACTACCACTTCTACGACCAGAAAAACCACCACTACGACTACTCCTAAACCTACGACAACAATACCTACGACAACAACGGAGGCAACCACGACAACTACCACTTCAACGACAACAACACCACCACCACCACCTCCTAGCACCACTAGAGCCACCACAACTACCACCACTTTTACCTATCCCTCGGTGGCTCCACCCACTCCTTCAAATCAAGGAGGATCTTTGCCGAAATTGGATGCCAATCTGTTCACCACCTTCCCCATTTTGGACACCCAACCTTGGAGACCAATGCATCGAGAGGTTCCGGAATTGCTGCCAGGTCCACCTCCCGCTTTTCCCACCAAAACTTTAGCTGGAGGAACCACTCCAACTATAAATCATATTCCCCAGCGGAGGATAGATGAGTTTGAGCTGCCCTTCATCGGAGATAATCCAACTCCTCCGACAGCAGCTGTGGCTCCAGTGACCATTGATCCCTACAGTCTGGGGTTCCTCAATCCCGGCTTGCGAGTACAGGAGCCAAAACCCAATCTGGGACAGCAGCCACAGGATCAAGACATGCTTTTCTACCACAACTTTGGCAGTCCGATCTTTATGCCAGGCACTGAGAACATAGAGCGTTTGGGCGGAGCTCTGGTGGAACCTCATCCTCTGCCCGTGCCCCTCATAGATGATGTTATCATTCCGCCATTTAAGCCCATTGATCCGACGATAGGAACGGGTGAGAAACTGCCCTTTAATCTGGATGTCAGCAACGAGAGATTCGAGCATCTGGGTGGTGGAGTCATTGCCAAGAAGCCACAGGAGAAGATGGAGAAGAAGGAGCAGCCAGCGAAGAAGGAGCCACTGGAGCAGCAAGTTAAGGAAGTGAATCAAACGCAGGTGGAGAAGAAGGATGTTCAGAAGGAGAAGAAAGAGGAGCAGGTGAAGACAGAGCAACTTGAAATCACCACAAAACCAGTAATTAAAGTGGAGAAAGTGGAGGTCACCACATCGCCTTCAAAGATCGCAACTAATAGCCCACCCAAACCAACAAAAACTCCATCTTTACCTTCCCTAAAGCCAACGGATAATTCCGTTTTGGCCGATACCATAGGAGAATTCTTCATGGAACTATTGAATCTGCCCAAAGAGGATAATGCGACTGCCACAAAAAAAACAACAGAAGAACCGATTGAATCCAGGGTAGAACCAGAGGAGGATGAGACCCAGAAGTCGCCCAGCTTGAGCCACTCCAAGCCGAACTTCTTGAATCTCAAGCAGATCATTCTGCAGAGGAATACCCCTTCGGCTATACTGTCCAATGCAACTTTTGAGGAGGAAACAACGACTACAACGTTGGTTACCACAACAACCAGCACAACGGAGGAGCCTAGGACCACGAAAAGGAATCGCATCCGGACCACCAGTGAACGACCCACAATGATGGACGACTCCAACTTGTTTCCTTCGCATTCAAAGTGGGAGTTTGTGAACAGTTCTTCGGCTCAGGGATTTGGACACAATTCGAATATGAGAAAGGTCTTCAATCAGACGCTGCAGGCTTGGGTATCGGAGGACATTGACAAGTCGGAGAATCTAACTTTGAATGACATCAAGACGCGAATCAACAATGCTAGTAACATTCAGGACATCTCGTTGATCTTTGACACATTGGCTTCCAAGTTGGGTATCACTCCTAGTGTGCCCAACAAGTTCCCACCCTTTTCGCAGAACAAGCTAAAGCAGGCACCCAAGGAGGAAGTCAGGAGACCCATACCCACATCCACCACCCCGCAAGTTCCATTAGTAGTCCCGGAAAGCAAACTTCCTGTTGAGAGGGAGCCCTTCATTAAGCCCATGGCCAGTTTTCTAGAGGATGGCTCCTCTGAAGTCTTGGGGGCAGCAATACCCGTGATTGGCGAGGCGGAAGTGGAGGTGGTGGACCCACTGAACTACGAGGAGATGCTCAAGATCTCGCAGTTTGCTCCTAGCAGCACGGAGCCCAGTGTGCATCGACTGGTGACTCTACTTCCAGTGCGATCGAACTCGGGAATTCGCACGTATAGACCACCAGCCGAGGATGAAGAGACGCAGAGGAGTGCGAGTGATTCAGTAATGCCCGTTCCTGGACCCACTGTTCCGGCTTCCGCTCCCGGAAGGATCAGCATACGGCGCAAGAGCAACCTCAACCAGAGCCGGAGATTCGGCCAACCACCCGCAGAGGCGGTGGTCAAGGGCGGCATCCAGGTGACGGTCAAGAAGTGATCACAGAGTCGGCCAAATAGCTTCACCATGAGATTAGAGGAGAGACAAGTTCTACCACAGAGCCCCATGATTTAGCTTAGACCACTATATGTTAGCTATAAGTAGGGAATATACATTTAGTTAGGTCGATCGTGCAAATAACGAAATCTTGTTCGAAAATTGTTTACCCCCATGTTGGAACAATTTTGGAATGACACTTCCGGTTATACTCGGCGGTATCAGCGACTGCCAGTCCTCAGTATTTAAGACAAACCACATCACATTCATTGCCTAGGTATCGAATCATTAGTTTGTATACAATCCTACGATTTTCCAATATTATTTTCTTCAGTTCATTGCGATTCTTATGTTAATGTTAGCTATGGATGCGTTAGAGAAGTACTTTTAGTAAATGATTAAGCTCGATCTTGGAATAAATGTGAATAATTTATTATTATTTGGCGACTTTACTTGGGTATTATAAATTTATTGTTTCTTTTGCATTTTAGAAAAGGTTTAACAAAAAGTTGATTAATGGGAGATTCTTTTTAAATTTAATAAAGTATTTATCTTGATTTTTTAACCAACAAAATTTAAGGAATAATAGACATACTCCGATGAGCTCTCAATAAAAAGGCAAATTAATTTTTTCAATTCAATTTACTTTACATATTATTCTACATAATAGTATTTTAAATTACGCGCGCCGACAATGCGCTAGGCCGTAGATAAATGGGATTATCTGGTCACACGTAAGCTGGTCACACCTGAGCACCAAACATTGGAGGACTAGACTAGGCGTTGTTGTTGTTTCATCGGTTGTGAATCAAAATAAGAACAAACAAGTGGCTCAACATTCTCAAAAACTAGATATAAGCACATAGTGATAAGAGGAATTAAGATCGCTAATTACTTGGACGTGAAAAAAGTGCAAAATGGGCTGTGCGGAGAGCAAGGACGGGGAGGGGGAGGCGCAAAACAATAGGCCTAAATACCGGTCCTGCACGGACACCTTTTGGCTGGCGATTTACATTATATTCTGGCTGTTTCTGGTAAGTAATCAATTATAGATTATACCATATAGAGAGATATAGAAATGTGTATCGGGAAAGTGAAAGTTAAGAGATCAATCTGCGCAACGCTGCTCTCTGTTTCGCTGTGTGTGTGAGCGTATATTTTTTGCGGGAGGAAAAAGCGGCTACTTGTTACTTAAAAATGTCTCATACTTGTGTCGTCATCGCTGGCACATGAGCGGAATTGTTAATTCAGCTAATGAAAGCGATGATTTAACATTTAGGGTAAGCCTAGGCTTAAGCCAAAGCCCCATATGAATCAATAACAGCAGGACTTGCCACTCCCCGAAAGCATTTCCATGTCAAGTATTTGCATGGGTATGTCCACCAAAGCGATTATAATAATAGTGCCCCTTGACATGACATGCGGCTCATGGGGGTCATGGGGCGTTGGCAGCCTTAACTATGATATATCCACTTTAATTCCGCTACTCTTTAATTCGCAGATCGTGATAGCCATCTTTTCGTTTGTCTACGGCAATCCCTTGCGCATCATCAATGGCTACGATTCCTTTGGCAACACCTGTGGCGTCAAGCACAACGAGAAGTTCCAGGGCTTTCCCCTGTCCGGCATGAATACCCTGGACAAGCCCGAGCTCTTCTACTTCGACGTCAAGGAGCTGAAAAAGTCCCTGAAAATATGCGTCAAGTCCTGTCCCGCCAAAACCATGACCAAAGGCAGTGAGTTGCTGGAGTACTACACCCAAACGGGCAGCCAGCTCTGCAAATACGACTACAACATGCAGCAGCTGAATACGGCGGGAAATAATGCACAGACCTTCAACTTCCTGGGTCCCTGTCCCAGTTTTCCCGTGCATGAGAGGTTTGTTGATGATTGTTAGACGAAACAGTTCATAATTTGTGATTCGTTTCATTTTCAGTGCTCCTGTCCTCCATCGTTGTGTGCCCAAGGGAACTGGTGAGAAGGTTCAGAACTACTACGACATGCTCAACAACTGGGATGTGGCCCAGCAGTTCGTTGGAGACATCTACTCCACCTGGCACATCATTGCCATGGTCTGTGGTCTGGCCTTGCGTAAGAATAATTTTATTTCCCATTTAAACACCATGTTAATAGGTTTTTTCTATAGTCATTTCCATTGCTCTGGTCACCATGATGCACTGGCTCTCGCGCATCGTCTCCTGGATCATCTGTGTGCTGGTTATAGTGGCCAGTGTGGCACTCACCGTGGCGCTGTGGTATGCCTACTACAACATCAAATACAAATCTGGCATAAACACACAATACTCCCTGCTGGAGGAGTTTGTACGCAATCAACAGGCGGTTTTAACTCTGGCTGTCTTGGCCACCATAACTATGGTTAGTTTACTCATATTATATCTTATTATAAGTTATTAATTTACACTCTATCCACAGGTTATCCTTATAGTGGTGATATACTTTTTGAAGAACAAACTGGCTGGCTTGTCGGCCCTTTTCGAGGAAGCTGGTCAATGCATGATGAATCTCCCAGGACTTTTGATTGCCCCGCTCCTAGCTTTTCTCGTGCTTATAGCCTTCTTGAGCTTCTGGGTGGGCGTGGTCATCTGCCTGGCCACAGCCAGCTCTCCTGGCCAGAGTCCCATTGCTCCGTTCGACAATTCAAAGGCCCATCAGCAGCTCCTGCCAACCAATGCTTTGCTCGTGCCCAACACCACCAGTATCAATGATGTAAGAAGTAAGTAGTCATATCATTTAACTATTTCTAATCAATATCTACAGGGTTTTAAAGCAGCTCTATTCAAAATAATCTAAATCGTATATTTTTGCATTTTTGTGGTTATTTGATAACGTAATTTGGTGAATAAGTAAGTGATATTAGATAAGGGCACAGAACTTTACTCTTTTGTACATATTTCTGTGTTTTATTCTTCTTCACCATTTTTGAATCTAAAGTGTAAAAATTTTTTAGAAATATTCAAATATGTTTCCAGAGTATAAATCTTGTGATTTCTTTACCCAGCTAACGCACGTGTAGAATATGCCGATGCTGAAGCTATTCGCAGCATGTTCTGGATCTATGTGGTGGGTCTAATATGGACGGTGGAGTTTATTTTCGCCTGCCAGCAATTTGCACTGGCCGCTGCGGTGGCCTTTTGGTACTTTCAAAAGCCCACTACCACACCCACGATTTACGCCATTGGCAAACTGATCAAGTATCATTTGGGTACGGTGGCCAAGGGATCATTTGTGATCACTATTTTCAAGATTCCCCGCTTGATACTCACATATTTGTATGCTAAGTAAGTTTGTCTTTTATTTGATTTGTATTTTTTCTCTTTACTAATTGAATTCTTTAATGCAGATTGAAAAAAGGCGAGGATAAGGGATCGGAGTGTGCCGCCTGCTGCTTGAAGTGCTGTATCTGTGGCTTCTGGTTGCTGGAGAAGTTTATTCGCTTCTTAAATCACAATGCCTACACAGTGGTGGCTATTGAGTCCATTAACTTTTGTCCCGCCGCCGGCATTGTAAGTTTAACATCTGATAAGCCTTGCATTCTATACAATTTAAATTATATTTTCTATTTTCAAGGCTTGGAATGCCATGGCCACGAATGTTTTGCAAGTGGCCACTATTAATAGCGTTGGCGACTTCATCCTTTTCCTGGGAAAGGTTGTGGTGGCCGCTCTCTCCGGCCTGATTGGTATCGTTTTGCTCAAGGACATGCCCGGTCTTAACTTCTACATGGCCCCCGTCATCATCATTATAATCTTCTCATTCTTTATTGCTCACATTATTCTATCACTGTTTGAGGTAAGCTAACAATTCATATTTGTTATGTCAAAGACAATGTGTGTAATTCATGACTGCCGACCTTTTCAGATGGTTGTGGACACTCTATTCCTGTGCGTCTGCGAGGATAAGGCTTTGAATGGCCGTTCCGGTCGCTGGGCGCAGAGTAATCTGGCCAAACTGGTGGGCGAGGAACCGTTGCAGCCTGGCGAGGAGCCGCCCATCGAGGTGGTCCAGATGATGCCCATCAACAAGCAGCCCTTCAGTATTACCCGACTGCCCCAGTCCGATCCCGAAGTGGCTCCCATGTCGCCCGAGTAGGCAAGAAGTTGCTTTTGCTTATGTATTCCAGCCCCAGAGAACCCCGAAACTCAACGCACATCTCATTAGGATGTTAATATTTATATATACATACCATAACTCCGTCGCGACGTACAAACCAGTAAACAGTGGGACAAATATTGGCAGGTTACCTTGTCTATTGATATATATTCAAACTTAGGATGCACAGTTTGTAAACGTATTTATAAAGTTTAATCGTTTTTGTATCTAAATGTAAAAATGAGGTGTTTAAACCTTCTTCGCACGTTTAATGGTTCTTGCCTTCTTTCTATCGATCACCTCTTTGATGGCCTTCAGTTGCTTTTCCTTGATCTTCTTGGTGAGCGCTGATTTGGGTGTTTGTTTGGCCGCTTCTTCCTTCTTCTTCTTGGCTATCGCAGCCAGAATCTTGGCTGTCTCCACGGGATCGTCATCCTCGAAGAGCTCCTCGTTCTCCACGCCATCGTAGGCTCTCACGGGTCGCGTGGCCTCGTGCTTGACCTTCTGCTCCACCCGGTTTACATACTTGTCCTTGGCGGACTTTTTGAGTAGCTGTCGCTGCTTTGCGGGGCTCACATAGTCGGGATTCTCCCAGATGGTTTTCCCCGTGAACGAGCCATCGAAAATTTTCACGGGATTCATCACATAACGCGGTCCCACCTCCGAAAGACCACCGTCCTCGGAGAGAATCTGGAAATTCCTAAACCAGATGCGATTGTCCAGGTAGGTGAAGGTGAAAACATGATCCACGAAGGGCTGGCTCTTGGGATGATGATTTGGTACGGCGAAGGTCTGGACGAATAGCTCCTTGAGCAGCTTGAGATGCGGCAGCTCATCGAATTTGGAGTCGAAGGAGAGCAGTGGACGCGATCCTCGCAAGCAATTGCCCGTCATTTTCAGCTCGGCCATTGTGTGGATGTTTTCGATGAGGAACTTGGCCGATGGGCCAGTGGAACCCGAAGTATTGGACACCCACATGTACAGATCCCTTTTCCGGCGACCCTCGAAAAGCATGGCCTTGTTGCAGTGCTTCATTTCGCACATTTCATTGACCACCGACAGTGTTTTAGAGCGCTCCATTTTTGATTCCGGGCGATGGTGCGGCATGAGTGTCTTGATGTCCTTCATCAGATGTCTGTCCCGGTGGCTAATACCACGGGCGGAAAAGACCAGCACGCGCTGCTTGTTCACCCACTTTTCCTGTAATTTAAATCGAGTTTTTAATTAAGAAATAGTTTGTTTAAAGAAGTCTCAGTTCTTGCCTTTTTGGGCACCACTTCGTCTGAGGAACGCTGTGGCGGCAAAGGTGGGTTTTCGTCCAGCGGCACTATCTCCAGCTGTGGAGCAGCCTTCTTTTTCTTATTCTGGAACTTGCGACCCATTTAGCTTTGTTTAATTAATTAAAAAATTATTAAAAAGAAGAGCAAATGCAAAACAACGTGGAGTTGAAATGAAAACAACCAGGGATGGAACACGTTACAAAACCAGGGTGTCAACAGCACGTGCACCTAGTAAGTACGGGCCTTTTCCAACACTGTACAAGTTTAAATATTCCTTATATAAATTAAATTCCCGTTAAAATTGTAAAATGTTTTTAAATTGATTTTTATTTAAATTACATGTGATTTAAATGATGCTTTTAGCTGGAATGAAATTATTTTTATATTAATGGCGAAAGTACTCCTCAATCCTCCTCATCATCGAATCCCGGTTCGGGACACAGTCGACACCTGCTCTCGTTTATGCCATAATTCATGCAATGTTCGCCCACGCATTCGCAGCAACCATCATGAAACCATCTGTAGCTGGTGGCTCCGGTTTTCAGGCAAGTCTGACGGCATCTATTCCAGGATGTGCACTGATCCAGATACAAAACAGTGCAATTAAAACCGGAATCTGGCTGCCCATCGTTTGAAAACGATACCACGCTCCAATTGTAGGTGTATCCATCGTTTGGCGATGAGGACATAGCCCTGAACAACGCTGACATTCCCTCGAACTCCTCAGTGTGCGATTTCCTTCGCATTTCCGCCATATCAGCAAAAACTAATTGCAAAACTGAGAGGGAAATTGTAATTTTCACAAGTAACTTCATGTTGAATTGCCAATTATAACTGACGTGGCGAAGGCGTGGTCAAATGGTTTTTAAATAAAATGTATAGTTCAGGTAGGGATATACGTACTTTGCAGGTAAAACGAAATTTTACCAGGTGTCGCCAAGGGTCGTTATCTTTATTATTTATTTTACCTAACATACATAGATTCGTCCTCTTGGAAGGCATTTATGACTTTTTGTACTTTACTCGAACGTAGGTTTTTAAAACCACCTGATGTCGAACATAAGTCAAGATCAAAATATTGTTGTGAAAACAACACTTTTTAAAAGGCTGCAACAATGTTTAATCCCCGAGCAAGGTTAAAGCATTTGGGTAACTAATGTTTTTCCTTGTTAGTAAGGACTTTGCATTAATTGTTCAATAAAAAATGTTTTGCTTTTAAATTTAACACCAGGAAAGTTTTTAAATCGATTAAAAATGTAGTGGGAACGTCCCATTGTGAGAACCCTGTGAGCAAACTATTTTGACAAAGAATTCTGACAAAGCCATTGACGGTCATACTTTTTTTATGTATACGCCATCAAAGCGGCAAAAAACGAGAGAAAGAAGTGAAGTGCAAAAATCGCAGCGGAAAAACAAGATATCAGGAGAAGAATAAGAACCATGTCGGACTATCGATCCCAATCTCGCGGCGGCGGACGTGGCGGCCAGGAGTACTCCAACGACGACGATCCGCCGATGTCGCGTCTGTTCATCATTTGCAACAAGGCGCACACGGAGGAGGATTTTCGCGAGGCCTTCTCGCCGTACGGCGAAATCGAGGACATTTGGGTGGTGAAGGATAAGCACACGCAGGAGAACAAGGGCATCGCCTACGTCAAGTTCTCCAAGACATCGGATGCGGCCAAGGCGCAGGAGGAGATGAACGGCAAGACCATTGGCAAGATGGATCGCACCCTCAAAGTCCTGGTGGCTGCCAAGTAAGATTCGCTTTTGGGAGCACCCCCGTGAGCAAAGCAAGGCCTAATCTTGTCCCCTTTCTTGCAGTCGCAATCAGGGCTCCAATAAATCCGAAAACGAGCAGGAGAAGTACGTAAGACTGTTCATTGTCATTCCCAAAACGGCCACCGAGGAGGACATTCGCGAGGAGTTCGCCCAGTGGGGCGAGGTGGAGACGGTGACCATTGTCAAGGAGAAGAACAATGGCAATCCCAAAGGCTTCGGCTATGTCCGCTTCACCAAGTGCGTGGCAAATGCAGCGTGACTAACTTCTCAGAGCCCAACTAATGTAATCTTAATTGCCAGGTTCTACTATGCAGCAGTGGCCTTTGAGAACTGTTCCGCCAAGTACAAGGCGGTCTTCGCCGAGCCCAAGGGCTCCACTCGCACACAGCGGGATCAGTACGGTCGTCCCGCCGAGGATAATCCGCTGTACAGCGGCTCAGGACGTGGCAATTCCAATTTCAATGGTGGCAGCAGTAGCAGTGGCGGTGGCGGCAACAGCTACAACAACGACTGGAATGCTTCGCAGAACAACGACATGTCGGCCTTCCTGCGCATGCAGAATGTCCCGGTGGCCCAGCCCTCGTGCCTGGAGGTCAACGTGAGCAACTGCGTCAACCAGGATCAGCTCTGGCGGCTCTTTGATATTATACCCGGCCTAGATTACTGCCAAATCATGCGGGAACGTAAGTGGCCTGCCTATTTTAGGTCTAAAAACATCTTTAAACTATTTCTAATTTACTTGACAGATGGACCCCGCACAAATGAGGCCCTGGTGGTGTACGACAACCCCGAAGCTGCCATTTATGCCAAGTAAGACAAGACCTAGAATCCTTTTCTATAAAGTCTTTAATATAATTTTTTATAGGGACAAACTACATGGCCTGGAATATCCAATGGGCGAACGCATCATTGTCAAAGTCAATGGCATGAGCTCGGCTCGCATGGACACATCTTTTATAGACAGTACGCGAGTTAAGACTTTTATGGGTTATAGACCGCCCCATCATCTATAGCCATTTATTAAACTTTTTTGTTTCGTTTATTTTCTAAAAATGTTTGGGCTTTAAATCTGTGCTTAATGTTGCTGTTATCTATAATCATGTGGTCTTTCATTTTAGAGCGCACCAAAAAAGATGCCATCTGTAATGTGCCTTTGCCCCCAACTCAGCCACTGGCCTCACCCGATGCCCAGGTCGCCCAACGCCTGTTCATTGTTCTCTCAGCGGTAGGTAACACTGTACTGTGTCCAATTGAAATTGGTTATGAACGCTGTTTTCTAATAATTCAGAATTTGCCGCATTCGATCTTGAAAAACATATTCTCCTGCTGGTCGGGACTGATTGACGTCTACCTACTGCCCAACAAGAATTGCGGCTACGTCAAGTATGCGGAGGCTGAGAGTGCCCAAATGGCAATTCATACTCTAAATGGTGCTGAAATCTGCGGCACTAAAATAAAGGTTAGTTATTTTACAACTATTTAATTATGTTTTAAGTGATTTGGTATACTTAAAATGTACATACCATGCTTTCAAAGCTTACCAATATAACACTTAAACAAAGCCTATGCGTTAATTGTATAATTATATTCCATTACAATCCCATTACAGGTCATGGAGGCGGAGGAGCGCAGTGGATCCGATGGCGATGACGGTGGACGGAAGCGATTGAGGCGTAATTGAGTGTAAGTACCAAGTGAAAAGAGCATAAATCCCGTATCTCTTAGTGTAGCCATAGTGGGAATGTGAGTGTGTGCCGTGGTCCGAGGTAAGTAGTTGTGCAAATTCCAAACCGAATCCTATTAACGATTTAAATAAAGCATTCGCCTAACACTTGTCACAGACAGTTGTTCGGTTCGGTTCGACCAACCAACCGAATAGTACTTACCCCGTGCACCGGTTGGCCATCGACGATATCTATGCCGCCACTGAGCGCGAACATAATAAGCCAAAACATTTTTATCTTTCTATCTCCGCAGACCCACTGACAATCAAGAACTTACAGAGAACGCAATGTACGAGTACGTAACTAACTTGAGAATACAGTCCGATAAAAACAGTTGAACTGACCACCACCAACAACCACGCAACAACCAACCAAGAACCAAGAACCATGAACCATGAACCAATAACCAAACAACCACCACCAAACAACAACCGCTCAGAACCAGAACCAGAACCAGTACACTCTTAAACGGAATGCCACAATAACCACGAAGACCGGAAACGGCGAACGGAGAACGGCGAACGGAGACGGGTGAACAAACAGCCAACGAATATTCACCACACCCGTTGACTACCATTGACTCTAACTGAAGAAACACTCGTGTACTCAAGTGGGTTCTCTCTCGTACAGAGCACTCGTAGAAAGACCCTTACGACCTTTAAACGGATCCAACGAAAATGCAATGCTTGCTATATACCATAGTACACATACCCAATGGAGTGTATATGTATAAAGCAACCGCTTAGGGGACTTTTAAATATATATCCGTAATACGGAAACGAACTCTGTGAAACTTGTACTATTACTAACGTATTCCGACGAGATCCAGCTAAGCAATGAATTCAAAAATAACTGAATGTCTCAAGAGTATTGACTCTTTCTCGTCAACTTTACGATTTAGCCGTGCGTAAAAGATATTTCTTTTCATACCGTAGACTTAACCAATACCTTAATGTGTAAGCCCTTAAGTAAATAATAATAAATGGAGAACATAAAGAGTTGTGTGTACTTGATTTTTATTTGGGTGCTGGTTACCTTAAAACTAAGAAAATAAATATATTTAGCATGTTTGAGTCTAGAAAGGATTCATGAAATTGTATTCAACGATATAAATTGTTCTGAAGTTCGGAAATGAATTGACATTGGCTTGGACAAATATCTAATTAAATTTTTGATTGGCTTTCTAAATTGAAAATAGTCTTGTATTGGTGGTGATTTGATATTCAACGTTAAGGGAAAAATATTTTTGAGTCGCGAAAATATCTAAAAAGTGTTGTTTAATGGTAAGGTATGTTACAAAGTCTTAAAATTCATCGACATGAGCGAGGAACGCTAAATTTCAGAAATAAAACGTATTAAAAACTAACGGACCTGTTCAAAAAAAAAAAGAGTATAAAATGAACTAGTTCCAATATTGAACTTTAGCCACGCAGCCCTGGTTGATAATGGTTCCACAGACAGCTGAGTTGGATTTTGTTTAGATTTGTGAATTGTTGATTTTACGAAACGGGACTAAATAATAGGGATTCTCCAAAAGAAAATTTAAAAAAAACATAAAAAATGGATCCAGCACTGCTTCGCGAACGCGAGGCCTTCAAAAAGAGGGCGATGGCCACGCCCACGTGAGTACCAGACATGTGGCCTCTTTTGTGAAGATTGCTCCCAGAAAATGATGAATTATCCTTTCAAAATAGCGTTGAGAAGAAGTCCAAGCCCGATAGACCTGCTCCACCGCCGCCCAGTGATGATTCCAAGCGTAAAATGCGCCCGCCCACGGCTCCCAAACTGGATGCCTCCACGTGAGTTCCGCAAGAGGATTTCCCTGTTTCCGGATTGGTTACTTACCATGTGGATTCCACTTTCCAACCTTTTCCAGATACAAGACCATGTCGGGCAGCTCCCAATACCGGTTTGGAGTGCTGGCCAAGATTGTAAAATTCATGCGCACCCGTCATCAGGACGGCGATGATCATCCACTGACCATTGAGGAGATTCTGGACGAGACCAACCAACTTGACATTGGTCAATCTGTTAAGAATGTTAGCTGCCAGACATATATACTGCTTAGCGTTATGTTATATCGTACTCCTCCATTCTAGTGGCTTTCCAGCGAGGCTCTGCACAACAATCCCAAGGTTGAAGCCAGTCCCTGTGGCACCAAATTCAGTTTCAAGCCAGTGTACAAAATCAAGGATGGCAAAACCTTGATGCGACTGCTCAAGCAGCACGATTTGAAGGGTCTGGGAGGCATCTTGCTGGACGATGTCCAGGAATCCCTGCCGCATTGCGAAAAAGTACTGAAAAACCGAGCTGCCGAAATACTCTTCATTATAAGACCCATTGACAAAAAGAAGATTTTATTCTACAACGACAGGACAGCTAACTTTTCGGTGAGTAATTGCATTTTAATTAAACCATACATTTCTACTTTAAGATATAGACAAAGAAAAAAATATCAGACATCTTTTGGCAAATTTTTGATAACACTTTATATTTATATAAATCCTTAAAAAAAGATAACAAACATTTACCCAATTAACATTTTTAAATCGCTGAACAATAGTAAAAGTTGTAAAGCAGAAAAGAAATCATATTTCTTTAATTTCTTTTGATTTAGAAAGAAGTAATATGATTAATATTGGAGACCAAACTTTCAGGCATTTACCATTTTTAAATTGCTGTATAATAGGTAAAGGTATGAGGCAGAAATGTCGCTATTTTCATTTAACAAAAAATTAAATTTAATACCGTACACAATTCTTTAAAAGTTATTTAACTACTTTTTATATCCTACAGGTGGACGAAGAGTTCCAGAAGCTATGGCGTTCGGCCACAGTGGATGCCATGGACGATGCCAAAATCGACGAGTACCTCGAGAAGCAGGGCATTCGCTCCATGCAGGATCATGGCCTCAAGAAACCCGTTCCCAAGCGCAAGAAGGCGGCCAACAAGAAGCGACAGTTCAAGAAGCCCAGAGACAACGAGCATTTGGCCGACGTTTTGGAGGTCTACGAGGATAACACACTAACGCTGAAGGGTGTGAATCCCACGTAGAATTATAACTCTCGATTAGGCAATAAAAATAACTCTCAATGGAAATAAGTACACTATATAAATTTGTTTACCCTCTCGCAATCTCATTGAGAGTCCGCATTTCGGTGTTCCTATGGCCGAATACTCATTCCCGGAGATTTATGGACTCAGATTGCTATCTGCCATCGGCTTTGAACTTAGAAATACGACGATTGGCACAGGGAAAGATAATTAAAAAGCAAAACTATGTAATCTTGTCGTGACATTCTCTGTTGTTCGCCCACCTCGACGATTGCTTGCGTGTGAGTTTTCCAAAATCGATGCTATTGAGCTGATAAATTGGCAACAGTGGGAAGCCATAGCTTTAGTCTGCATTGAACAGCACCCAAGTTCAGTTGGAATCGATTTGGAATAACCAATATTTGTGCGACGGTGGATTATTGTGAGCAAATTTTTTAACCGGCTTTTTACAGGGCTCAAGAACCGGATTAGGCCATCCTTGATTGGAGGTTAACAACCGGCGTAGTACAATCAGATATTGGAAAATAACACTTTATTGCCATTTAATAAATAAAAATGCAGCCCGTGTCGCAAAACTAATTTAAATCTAACTTATTTTTACAACTACTCTAAAGATAAACATTATTTCGATTAAAAGACAATTAAAATAATAACTAACTAATGATATTAAAACATTTTTTTAATATTTAATCAATAAATACACCATGAAATAAATAAGTTCAAAACTAATACCACAACCTACAAAAATATATCTGATTTAAAGGTTTTGAAATTTTGTTTAAAAATGTTAAGCCATTAATCAGTAAATTTTGAATCCACTTCAGTTTCAAAAATGTAAATGAAATCGTTAAAACTAGTGAATTAGTCTGAGCTCTTTTTTTTTGTAAATAAATAATACCTTAATTCTTGGGAATTTCAATTTAAACAAATGACAGCTCAACAAATTAAAATAAATTACAAAGCATACTTAATCAAGAACCAATAAAAGTAACATTAAATTGTAAGTTTTGAAATAAACAGGCAAATTGTAAGTTAATTTTAGGGTTTCAATTGAAAGTATTTTGTTTTCATATTTAACACAAAAAATAAATAAACAAGTAGGTAGCTTATATAACAACCAATTAAAATACTGTCAAGACTTTAAATTTTTCAAAAAGCAATCAATCTTTCAATATTTTTCTAAAGTCAATCCACTTTAATTTCACAATTTAACCTAATTTAAGTGGGAAGGGTATTCAGAAATGTACTTTCCGAAAATCAGGTTCTTTGTTTACTCGAGTTGCCTCTGTGGAACGGGCAATGAGCTCGAGCTCTCTACGCGGCGGCCGAAAACTTGTTTTGAAATACTCAAATCCGTTTAATTATAATTCCCGAAGCATTCGCCAGTTGTCTTTGAGAGTTTCTGAGCTGAGGTTGACGCAATGAAGCGGACTGCACTAGGATTGGCCCTGCTCCTGGCCCTGGTGGCTCAACTGACGGCCCACAGTGCGCAGTAAGTGGTTCAAACTATATAGTATATAGATAGGTAGATACCCCTTCGATCGGTCATTAACTTTCTCTTTGATTGAAATCAATCCGAAACACAGTGACTTGGTGTACGGCTACGAGTGCCGCAGTGGTCTTTGCCAGAAGGTGGAGCTCAGCGAGGAGAACTTCGCCAAGGCCATCAGCATGCCCGTGTGCCGGCTCTTCTGCGGCTCTGCCATCGGCACGCTGTGGCCCAAGCCCACGGGTGCAGTGCGTCTGGACACGCTGATGCGTCAGGTGGACATCTCCTTCATTGACTTCCATGTCAATGGCTCGGCGCGCCAGGAGAAGCTTTGGCGTGCGGCTGAGGACCGCTTCATGGACATGCTAGAGGCCCAGATCCCCGATCGCAAGATCCTCGCCCGCGGTGGCTATCGCATGTCCGTGAGCATCAACACCCCGGATGAGCCCACACCGGCCCGGCTCACCCTGGAAACGGACGAGAGCTATGTCTTGGACATCGACACGGATGCCTCGGGTCATGTGCTGGCCAACATCACGGCGGCGAACTTCTTTGGAGCACGCCATGGTCTGGAGACGCTGGCCCAGTTGATCGTCTACGATGACATCCGTCGCGAGGTCCAGGTGACTGCCAATGCCACTATTCATGATGCTCCGGTGTACAAGTGGCGTGGCTTGCTGCTGGACACCTCGCGTAACTATTACTCCGTGAAGTCCATCAAGAGAACGTTGGGTAAGGCATTGGTTGGGGATTAAGACATCTCTTTCGGCATCATAATGATCACCCTCATTCCTCCTTCCCGTGCAGAGGGCATGGCCCTGGTCAAGTTGAACACCTTCCACTGGCACATCACCGACTCGCACAGTTTCCCCCTGGAGGTGAAGAAGCGTCCCGAGCTGCACAAGCTAGGAGCCTACTCCCAGCGCCAGGTGTACACCCGGCGGGATGTGGCCGAGGTTGTGGAGTACGGTCGGGTGCGGGGAATCCGGGTGATGCCCGAGTTCGATGCTCCTGCCCATGTGGGTGAGGGATGGCAGCACAAGAACATGACCGCCTGCTTCAATGCCCAGCCATGGAAGTCGTACTGCGTGGAGCCGCCTTGCGGACAGCTGGATCCCACCGTGGACGAGATGTACGATGTGCTGGAGGACATCTACGGCACCATGTACGACCAGTTCAACCCGGACGTCTTCCACATGGGCGGCGATGAGGTGTCCACCAGCTGTTGGAACAGCAGCCAGGTCATCCAGCAGTGGATGAAGAAGCAGGGCTGGAAACTGGAGACCGCCGACTTTATGCGCCTGTGGGGACACTTCCAGACGGAGGCGCTCGCCCGGGTGGACAAGGTGGCCAATGGCACGCACACGCCCATCATCCTGTGGACCAGCGGACTCACCGAGGAGCCCTTCATCGACGAGTACCTCAATCCGGAGCGCTACATCATTCAGATCTGGACCACGGGCGCCGATCCCAAGGTGAAGAAGATCCTGGAGCGTGGCTACAAGATCATAGTGTCCAACTATGATGCCTTGTATCTGGACTGTGGAGGACCTGGCTGGGTCACGGATGGCAACAACTGGTGCTCCCCCTACATTGGCTGGCAGAAGGTGTACGGAAATAGTTTGAAATCCATTGCCGGCGACTACGAGCATCATGTCCTGGGTGCCGAGGGAGCCATCTGGTCGGAGCAGATCGACGAGCACACGCTGGACAACCGCTTCTGGCCGCGAGCCAGTGCCCTGGCCGAGCGTCTGTGGTCCGATCCCATCGGCGGATGGCGCGAAGCCGAGTCCCGGCTGCTGCTCCACCGCCAGCGGCTGGTGGACAACGGCCTGGGTGCGGAGGCCATGCAGCCGCAGTGGTGCCTGCAGAACGAGCACGAGTGTCCCATTGACGCGTACGATGCACAAGCTTAGTCGGCGATTGAGTCCAAGTCCTTCTTAACGGTCGCTATCCTTGTAGATGTAGTTGTAGGTGCGGCGGGCGGCTTTGGATAATCCTAATCCTACTCGGTCAACTCACAACGCTCTACTCCGCCTGAAAATAAATCCACAGCTCAAAGGTGGCCTTACGCAAGTGACTTGTCGTTTTATTATGTTTAGTATAAATGAGATTATAGGCCCTACAACTCTCCGCTTGCATCCGATTCAAAGTGGCAGGAATCGAAAGCGATGAAATCCCTTACAGCTTCACCAGTTCCGAACCCTTTGAGTCCGATGGGCAGCAGAGATGTACAAGTTATGCTTTGAAATGGGGTGAGGCATAAACTCCTGAATGGGACTCCTGAATATGTACGTATGAGAGTCTAGATACTAAAAGCAGCGTTCCCGTGTGCAAAATGTTCGCATGGAAGCCCTCTACTCGTTCCACTCCTCCTCGTTGCGTCCGAACTTGTAGATCAAACTGGCGAACAGGATGAAGACATTCTGCATGAGCAGGGCTACTCCAAACCAGCCATCTTTCTTATCTGTGTGGTGGATTATTTATGGTTATTAGTCGCATATAACCATGTTTTGTGGGTAATCTCTCACCGTTGTTGATGAAGTCATCAATCATCACCCAGACGGCGGCAATGATGGAGGCAAAGCCCATTACGAAGCCCACTAGTAGCCAGATCTTAGCTATCCTGGCACCCGATTCCGATGAGTTCTCCTCCGAGATCTGCGCACATAGAATCAAACAAGGAGTGAGTCATTTGGTGGGCTTTATGAGAAGGGTGTTCGCTTACGTGCTCCCCCTTCACAGCGTTGACCATGCAGAAGCTGATGGTGCCAAAGATGCCGATGAAGACATGGCCAGTGGTGATCTGGTGATTGCCATCAATGGTCATGGCATCGATTAGGACCCACCATCCTGCGAAAAACTAGAAAGGAAAAAAGTTGCACAGTCAGGCGGGGGCGACTCATGTCTGTCTGCGGACGGATCCTCACCAGCAGGCCTGCTATTATGGAGGAGTTCTTGTTCCGGGACGTCTCCCCTGTGAAATAGTTCGCAACATTGTCCAACACGCCCATTGTTTAGCTTTTAAAACGTAAATTAATTTATTCTATTTCTGCTATCTTTCTTGTTTTGACCCACAGGGTTGCCAGACTGTCTGTGGCTGTTAAGAGATGGAACTGCTATTCATTTAGTATTTTTGGTATATTTTCTTTGGTATGTGGTAATTTTAAGCTAGTTCCTTTACGGTCACACTTCCTAGTTCACGTTCAACGCAATTTTAATTGAAAATTGTAATTATTATTTAACAACCGATCGCAGCGACACGAGTGAGTGCGTGTGGTCAGTGCTTAGTTAGAGATTAAAAAGGACTCGTTGCCGCAATGCTAGTCATGAACACCTGTAGAACTGCCTCCAGACTGGCGATCCGTAGTCTTAACCTGCGATCGCCGATCGTCTCGCGCACTTTCTCGGCGGGATTGGCCCTGAAAACGAAAGATGTGTGAGTAGCCCCCGTGTGTATATTGGGAGTATTTCCACACCCTAGACCAAACATTGACCATCATCATCATCTGATTGCAGTGTCAACATAACCTTCGTGCGTGCCAACGGGGACAAGATCAAGACGTCGGGCAAGGTGGGCGACTCCCTGCTGGATGTGGTGGTCAACAACAATGTGGATCTGGATGGCTTTGGCGCCTGCGAGGGCACCCTGACCTGCTCCACCTGTCACCTGATCTTCAAGACCAGCGATTTCGAGAAGCTGCCCGACAAGCCCGGCGACGAGGAGCTGGACATGCTGGACCTGGCCTACGAACTGACGGACACCTCGCGTCTGGGCTGCCAAATCACACTGTCCAAGGACATGGAGGGACTGGAGGTCCATGTGCCCTCCACCATCAACGACGCCCGCGCCGCGTAATCGGACGCCAAACACTTTGTTATACTTTGTTGCAATTTTGAGTGCTAATTCGCTTTAGTTCAACTAGATGTAGTCAATATTTTCTGAATGAAATCTTATTGTATTGTCCCAGGGACACGAAGCTCAGGCGGCTATTATAGATGCGTGCATAAATCCGATTGCGATTCCAAAAGGCGGATTTGCGTCCGCTGTTGTTTTTAAAGTGTTTAAGCTCAAAGGGATTAGATCAATATGTAAATATGTGTTCCCAATAAATTTACATGTATTTTCTTACCTCCACGCTGATTTTATTGAACTTGTGGAGGTGTATTCTGCCGTTGGTATCAAAATCTTATCAATATCAATACTATTAGGCTGTTTCAGTTTTTGAGAGGCATTTTTTTATCTTTAAATGGCACCGAAAAAAAATTTCAAAATTTTGTTTATCATTAATAAATAACTAATTTTTCAAAATGTTGACCTATTTAAATAAGTTTTTTTTCTAATTTATTATTTATTTACAAATATTTACATATTTTTCTGCGTAATAAACTGCAATGACTTGTTTTCTGTGTAATAATTCTCAATGATTTGGCACTTGTGCTCGGCAAAACAACAATCACAAGTCAAGACTTTCCTCGGTATCATAATGATAATGCAGTTTTGATAAGCAAACCCGAAGAGTGTAGTATACTTTTAATCTCAACTTAATAATATTCTGAATCTGGGTACTGGTATTATAGCCAAGACAGTTTTATCATCTGAAATCGTAGTAGTAAAAGTAAACGGACTTTCCTGATAGTTTTAAAAAAAAAATGCAATAAAAGGCCCATTCATTTTTCTTGACCAAACCAAAGCAAAACTCGCAGTCATTTCCAAAACAAAGGCTTATCAAACTCCCAACCAAACATTTCATCACCCTGATAAAGTTTGCACTAGCTTTGTTTTGCTATTTCTTATCAGGGGTTGCCTGGCCCGATAAAGTAATAGATCCAATGGAAACACTGGGTGCTTAATAAAAGTAAACTTTTTATTATTTCGCAGCTATCAAATAAAGTAATAAATAAATAATTTAATATATACATTTGCTATATTAACTTATTGTAAACGATTTTCTGCTTTTCCATGCTTGCCGCTACTTTACTTCGTTTGATTTTCGTTTTCGATATAAACTTGCATATTGTAACATTCAAGGCTTTATCTGTATCTGAATCTGAAGCTGTCCAATCAGATGGAGGCCTTAAATCCTTTGTAGGTATAACTGAAACTTAACAAGTCTGACAATTCAATTTCGCTTCGTCTAAAACTAGGGAAACATATAGAAGATAGGGCGTGGTGTTGGAGGAGGAGGAAAAGTGGTTGGGTCTCAATAAATAACCGAAGAATAAATAGTGAAGTGATTGGATGGCTACAGGATAGGGGGTGCCTATATAGATGGATGAGTAGTGTCTGTCTGAAGTGCACATAAAACTGATTTGGTTTTCTGTTCACGCCGATGATCGTCGTCGTCGCTGGTGATGAATTGTGGATCCTCGGGATTTTTGGTCCTTCAGATCCTTAGTTCACATAGGCCATGCCCGCACCCTTGCGATCGAAGTGACGCACGCGGACGAAGAGGAAGGCGGCGACTAGAGAGGCGACGGCCAGGACGAGGAGCAGCATGACCAATCCTCCCACAAAGCTGGGCACCGACATGCAGATGGTCTCCGCATCCGCCGAGCGGGCGGACTGGATCACCACCGTCTCGTTGCTGGCATTGCTGTTCAGCGCAAAGTTCACGTCGCCGGGAGCCACCACCTGGATGATCCTGCTGGTGTTCACATCGGTCATCTCCTGCGCATTCCTCTTGTAGATCCTCTGCGGCTTCATCACAATGTCCATGGTGTCCCTGCGCCTGCGCACGCCACGCAGATCGTCCAATCCCTCGACGGATCGCGGCCGTCCTCCCAGGGAAACCAGATTGCCACCGGCACTCAGGTCATCCTTGCGCTTCACCGTGCTGTACTGACCACTCTGACCGGGCAGTGGTGGCGGTGGCAGACCCAGTTCATTGCTGCCCGTGGGCTGCTGGGGCTGCGGGGAGCTGGCCGGTCCCGATACCGATCCCGAATCAGCAGTGGGCACTGCCGCCGACGTCTGAGCCTGAGGTGAGGGCACCACATCGGGCTGATTCTCCGAATACGCTCCAGTGGCATCGTTGGCCGGGTGACGTGGATCAGGGTAGGCAGCCGGGGGCAGAACTCCGGGACCGCCCAAGGCAAAGTCATTGCGTTCGTAGGCCTCCGGCGGACCGTACTCCTCGGACAGACCGTTGGCGCCAATCTGGGGCAGACCGTACTCACCACCCGGCAGGCCAGGACCGCACTTGGGCTCGGGGCAGTTGTAGCGGCACACCTGGATGACACACTGGAAGTGCACGTTCATCGAGTCGGGGAACTTGAAGGCCTGGAAGTAGGCGAAGCTGACCACGGAGGCGGAGGGTCCGAAGTTCTTGATCTTCTGGAATTTACTCATTATCTTGGGCCTGACAACGCAGCCATTCTGGTCCACCAACTGGATGGGAGCGCGCTTGCCATCATGGGCCACACAATTGCGGACCAGCATGTCGAACTTGTTCTCATCGTCCTTGATGGCCAGCACCATGGTCATGGTCTGTCCGATCTTCACAATTCCGGAGACTTCGGAGGCCCAGGGACCCTTGCCCACCTGGATCTGCATCCAGCACTGGAGATTGTCGCCCAGGAAATTGGCCGTCACCGCATGCAACATGTCCACCTGGAAGGGTCTGAAGGTCACCGCCTTCTCGTAGAAATCGTACCAGGTGCAGCGCAATTTGCGGGCCTGATCCCACACCTCCTGCACATACGGATCGTACTGGATGATGATGGTGTTCTCCACATAGCTGCCCGATGGCGTGGGCGCTCCATAGCCAGCCGCATTGTGATTGGCCGAGCTGGTCATGCCGCAGCTATTCAGGAAGATCTCGAAGGTGGCGCTCAGGTGGCCAGTGCCCGGCTTCAAGTGCACACAGTGCGGATCGCTGTAGAATCCCTTGGAGAAGATCATGCCGTAGAAGGGTCGGTCGAACTCGATGTTCACCCGCATGTGCGTCTTCTCGCACTGCACCTGCAGGTGCTTGATCTGCGGACTGTCGTTGGTGCTGGCCAGCGGCCAGGCCTCCTCCGACACATCGTTGGTGGCCCCGGTGCTCAGCGGTCCCTGGGGCGCTCCGTAAATGGGCGCCGGCGGACCGTAGCCGGCCCTGTGTTCGAGGGGCAGGGCGGCGGACTCAATGTGCGAGGCGTCGCCATGAACCGACAGGTGCTGTGGAAAGAAAATTAGGGGAAAATGTATTAGAAAAGTATTGAAAGATAGATAAAATATGGGTTTAAGTAATATAAAGTAATCTCCAAAAACTTGTTTTTAATAGTCGCTGTATTAAACATCATGGATTATATATTTAAAGCCTATATACATATCTTTTCTTTAAAAACTTGACTATTCTTTGGCCTATTAAAATTAATTTATAATTTTATGTAGTAAAGAAAACCGCCAAAATCCTTTTTGTTTGAGTCTCTGGATTAAACAACTTGCAAACCTACATTCATGTATTTTTATTTAACATTTTACATTTATTTTACATTTATATTTTGCAAGCTTGACAAAAATCCTGCAACGTTGCGTATGAGAGATGTTCCTTAAAGGTAAGTAATAGGCATATCACGCATACGCAGCGTTGAACTTTTATTTTAGCGGCCCTTCGTCCAGATTGTTTTAGAAAACATTTTTTTGATTAAGGTTTCTTATTTTTGGATAAACTTGTGCTGAATGATAGAAAATGCCCTGGAAGTAACAATTTTTTATCTAAATCAAATTATTTTAATTGAATTTAATTTAATCAAATCAAGTTAAAATTCTTAGATATTTCTAAATATAAATTCAAACTATAAAGTATGTTAAAGTATAGAGTTATTTTAAATACAATATTCAAAACCAAAGAAATCTTATTTCGACTTTATCACAATCATAACCTTTATGGATATCCATTGCTTTCATAATTTGGGTTCCTAACTGCTTTTGTTTATTCCCCTTGTTCATACAAACGATGTCAAAATATTACGCCCACTATAAATGTTTCGATTACAACCTAGGTTATGGCTCAGATCACAGGATTGCGGAAAGCTCTCGATTTCGGATTCGTTTTGGTTTATCTTTTTTCCGTCACATAATTGGATTTGGGTTATGCAATAGCAATCTCAGTCAGACACCGAAAGCACTCTCGACGACATTTCATTCGAAAAGAAGCGAGGCGAAGCGTTGAAAATTACACGACAGCTGGAGTATGAGTATTTTGAAATTAAATGGTTGGCAGAGCGGCACGCTTACCAAAAAAATACAAAACAAAAACTGAAACCCAAACGGAGCTTAACCCATTGCGTAAGACAACAGAGAAATGGCCACGCCCTCCCCCACTTCACCGCCCCCCGCAGGGCTTTGTCACTTTCTTTCTTTCATTCGCATCTGGTTCATAATTTTATGGTTGTTTTTTTTTTTTGTGGCTGCACACGGGAAGCGGATGTATCTCAAAAGTCCACGAAAACCGAAAGTTAAGTCCAACGCGATGACGGTGTGGATTTTTCTGTAGGTTGTGGTTGTTGTGTTTGTTTATTTATTATTATTTTTGCTTTCGGTGGCGGCTGGTGACCACGCGTTTACAGATGTCGTGAGATGATTTTGAAAGTGAAATGACCAAAGGAAAACGAGCTGGCCAACAAAAGAAAAAGATACGCGAAGCCAACGAAAAACCGTCTCGAGTCTCGAGTCTTTTCTTTTTTTGGACATTCCACGCAGTTGGCAATGGAGATATCAATATAAACACATCTATCGATCGATCGCCTCGATTGGTATTGGTAATTTATCTTCTCTCTTTTTTCGCTCGACGCTTTGGAGAAAGAAAACTGACAATAAATAAATAATAAAGCAATCTCTGTGAATTAATGCGCCATAAACAAGAAAGTCAAAACTGGTACAAATCAGAGCATAACTGCAATTTCTTCGCCGCCTCAGCACCCAGACACGCAGTTGGTTAGTTGGATAGTTGGATAGTTGGATACTCGGATGGCTAGTTGGCCAGTTTTGCGTTTTCCTTGACGTGATTGCATCGGCTTAAATCCGCAGAGTGTGTGTGTGTGTGTGTGTTAGTGTTTTCCATCGGCCTCCACAGTGATTGATTCGCTTTAAATAGCCCACTGAAGGCTGGACTTTTTCAGAGGGGGGAAAAGAAACATTTCGTCTTGGCCATGCTTATCAAACGAAAGCGTGCGGTAGCCCCAAGAAATCGACCAAATTTATGGCCTTTTCTAATATTGATTGACAGTCTATCGCAATGGTTAATATTCGTTGCATTTAAAATGCGCAAAACTGATTAAAATGTGTTTTAATAGAAATCAAGTTAATATTTAATTCTTTCTATAAAATTAAATATCTTTTAACTACACTTTCTTAAGCCTTAGATCTCTCAATTAAATTATTATTGGTTTGCCCAGGGTAACCTTCTGGCTGAAAGTTTCTCCTTTATTTAATTTTCCTAATAAAATAGTTTTACTTAGTTAATTTAATAGATCAGTTAATTTAATATAATCATCTTTAATAAAAAGTTGGCTGACAAAGTTATTTATTTTGAATGAAACAAGTTCAAGTTACTGTAAGTTATTCGAGCCGCAAAATGATGTTAATGAACTATATTAATGAAAAATACTCTACACATTGTTTTGAATACCTAAAAACTTTTGTGAATCTGTTATGCTATAAAAGCAATCCTAAAATGTTTTTTTTAAACTCCGCCTCTGATTTGTAAACTCTCTGTTAAATCTCCTTTTTTCCACCCTCTCCTATTCTCTTTTATTTGCGCACTTCTCTTCTTGCCTTTTTCAAATATTTTCTGAATATGGTACTATATATAGAATATATAGTAACCCTCCTAAATATTTGTTTAACCCCGCCTTTGATTTGCTTACTCCCTGTTAAGAGGCTGTTAGTTCACCCACTGTAAAAGCAAACAATATATGTATATGTCCCCCTCTCCCATTCTCTTGTGCATATCTGCTTCCTTTTCCCTCTCGCAGATAATTATCCAACTCTAATTGCAATGATTAGCAAAGTGCCGTTTAGTTGTTACATTTTGCTCCATTCCCCATTCGCAGACTCTCTCGATGCGATATTGATATTGATCTGGCAGCAATTCGATCTGATCCGATCCGCTACAGCGATATTCTTCTCGGACTTCCCCACAAAACTCAATCCATCAATAGACACTCGCAGTGATTTGCATTCGAATCGCTATTGATCGAACGGTAGTCTATCTTAGAGTCTAGAGTCGAAAGTGAAGAGATCCGCTAGAGGTTGGGTCTGCATACGAAATGAGTTGCTGTAAAGTGGGCCACACCACAGATCTATCTTTTAACTGTACGTTTCCTAATTGAAATTATGGCCCACACTTTCCAGATCCCATCATTTACGCTTTAGATATATATGTATATAACTCACCTTTGTGTTGAGTACCAGGCATAGGACTATGGCCATTAGGCTGCTGCTTCGCGTCAGGTGTCCCATTTTGATCTGGTTCTGTGAGTTCTGTTTTGGCTTGAAATTGAAATTCCAAAAATGTGGATTTTTGGATTTCGCTACTCGGCCTCACTTCTTCGGCTTTCTTCTCTGCTGCGGCTGCTTTTGCTGCTGCTGCTGCTGCTATTCTCTATTTTTCTATTTTTGTGTGGTGTCTGCAAGAAAAGAAAGGGGAACAAGGGTAAACAATGCGCCGGATTTGCATACGAATGTGTGTATTTTTGAGGCCAGCCAAAGAGAGGCTGTAACCGCGCTGTTATTAGCACCAGTTGTAAATCACTGTTAGCCAAAATAACTTGGCTTATCTCACTTAGTTTAATAATATTGCCTGTGGAGAAGCCCCGTGCTCCTGGACAAAACACTTATGTACATAATTCAAAATTAGACTTTATGGCCGTCATTAAGCAGCCAAATTATTAGCCACAATTGCCCGTTTGCAAGCTTATGGTGTCGTTGCTAGTGCTTGTTAATACGCGAGAAAGAAAACTGCATTTTATGTAAAGCAAATGAAAACTCGCGCGCACCAAACAGGAACCACTTTCTATTTTCACTATAACAGTACTCCGCAAGACAACTTTAGCTACGAATACGTATACGAATCCAAATCCGAATCCCCGAGTCCAAGACGCCAACGCAGCGTCAGGTTTTCCACACAGTGGCTGCACTTTACGATCCATCCATTAATTTTCGACTGTTTTTCCCCAGTCGCTTGAGCAAAGGGGGGCGGGGGGAGGGGTCTTACGTTTAACAGTCGCACTCTAGCATGACTTGGCCATCTAACTTAACAGTGGCGGCCCAAAAGTAACAGACGGAGTTTAGGCCTGGCCAAAAAGAGTCTGGGTCTGCCGATTCCGACGGTGCGAATGCGTTCGAGTGCCGATAAAGACTGAAGACTGGATGACTGCAGACCTGAAGACTGGAAGACCCGAAGACTGACAGCTTTCACACAGCCGCCGGAGCGGTGGAAAAGTAAGCGGCTTCAGCTTCGGGGATTCGACTTCTCAGCAGCGAACGCATTTCACTTGCTCTCCCGCTTCTTTTTTCTTCTTTCTTTAGTTTTTTTGGCTTAAGAGACTTGGGCTGGCAGTTTTTACTTTTACACATGGTGGATATGGATACTGTTTTGGTGCCTAGGTCTTCTTCTTCTACTTAAAACAAAAAAAAAAAGAAAAAGAAAAACACATGTAAATGGGTTTTTAACAAGTCGCGGCCATAAAGTCCGAGGAGCAGCCGATGAAACCGGCTTGCTGGCGTTGAGCAAGTGTACTATTAACCCACTGAAACAGTAACGGATACCACTAAACTAGCTGGCGATTGTTTTTCGGCTGAAAGAGGGGGTGGGTGCAGGTGCTGAGCGACTCTCTAGCAGTAGCCCTACAGCTGATTGTGTTATGCAATCATGACTTTCTGAGTTTCGAGCTTCTAGCCCCTTTGAAATTGAAGGCTTTAGTACTTTTAAGCATTTTAAAAGCCCAAAAGAAGTATAAAGAACTTTTCTTATATTTACTATGACTATGAGTTCATACTTGATACTTTTAAGAACAAATTTAGTTTAATATTGCTAAATTAAAAAATATTAAGATTTCTTATGTTCTAAAAGCACCTTACTTTTACAAATGATTAGGTACTACTCATATAACAACTGATTTTTTTGTAATAAGGTTTTTTAACTAGTTTTTAACTGGTAGACATAATAAATAAATGTTATTTTACTTAAATATTTGCTATTTAATTTAAAAGTATTATTTTCTGTTTTGATAACCTTTAACCTTTTTTTGCTAGCTTTCTTAAACCTAATTAATCTTTACCAGATTTAATAAAACCAAGAAAAAGTTAACTTAGCATCCCATTGCCTAGTACAAGCATACTTTGAAATGTTTCCCCTAAATTGCAATAAATAATGTTAACCAAAAATTAGCTTTGTCAAAAATCAAGAACCTTTTTACTTAGGCAACAAAATTAAAATTGAAATTATACTTTTTCACTCAAGACATGGGACAACTATAAGCACAAGTCTATTTTCTGCCAAGATAAAGATGAGTAATGTTAGCAACGAGTTATTATCTTCTCGAATTTTTTAGGAGGCCTTCCCATTTAACGGTGGTTCATTCATTTATTTGAGTAGGTATTTTTTATTTGATTTTCTCGGCCACTTTCTTCACCAGGAAATGGCCAAAGATTTGCATATAAAACTAGAAATCTTTGGCAATTAGCAAAAGGCAGCGAAATTTTGTTGGACTCTGTATTTTTCTTCATTTTTTTTTTTTTTGCTAATTGCTGGCACCCAAACAAATTCCTTATCAAGCGCCTTCAATCGCCAACAAAGAAGACAACAAATTTTTCTTCTTCAGCAGCTGATGGAGCTTGTTTAATGCTCATTGTTGCTGCTGTTGTTATGTGTAACTGCCAAATGGAATTGTTTATTGTGGCTGTTTGGCAAGTGAAAGTTTTCACCGCCTCCTCTCCTGCTTTCTGGGTTTCGGGCCCGCTTCTTACAGATGCCGCATATAAGGGCATATATTTATTTTTCTCTTCTCTTCTCTTCTCTTCCTTTGTTTTGTTTTCTTTTTTAATTAGCACTATAAAATTATTTGCTTACATATCGCACATCGCAGGCGAAAGGTGCAACTGAAGACTTTTGTTTTCAGCTAATTAGTTTACGATCTGGGTTCAGCATTTTTCATTTCTTTGCCATCGCACTCATATACCTATATTTATAGCATATCGGTACGAGGCGGTGCATTAAATCATGTGAAAAGCGCTGGCAAGTGAAAATGCAATGAAAAGTCGTCGGATGACTGGTGGCGATGTCTCCAATTGATTGAATGACAATGCGTGACGCTGGTCAGGCCAATAGCTGTGCTGGCTATATGGTAACTGGTCCATTGCAAACTAGGTGAACCACTGCTGCACTCACATAACTCGCGGTTGGATCGTTCTAATTCTCGGTAATTTACGTGGCTTACATTTTGGGGCCCCCGAAGCCGGATGTCAATGCGATACGAATCGGACATCTCAATGGTTTACATGCTGAAATTGATTTGAATAGAGCACTGACATTAGCACAGCGACATTTCCTGCAAATCAAAGTCAAACAAAGACCTCGAGAAGTGTAATTCCTCAAATTATAAGGCATTTTTCACACATTTTAAGCCTATCCTTCTGCTCTAATTCGATAATAACTCTCATTGGCATCCCCTTTAATGACCATGTAAGGAATAAATATAAAGCCTGGCATCCATTGACATCGATTGTCAATTAAAAGAAAACGAAATTGCATTTAATGCCATGGTCCAGGTAATTATTTATCAGCACTGGCTGCTGCATTTTTGTTTTTTGGTTTTGGCATTTGCCAAAACGGCTGCTTGGAGTCCATTAATTTAATTGAACGCTTTCACAAATCCCCCGTCGAAACTAAAACTATGCACACTTATTTTTTTTTCGTTTTCATTCATCTTTGGAGTTTTGAAGCCTCGGGGGGTATGGCGCATATAAATACGTTTCTATATGTCTTCATAAACGTCTTTGGATATTTGCTTAATTGAGTGAGCTGACAAATTTGTAGCTCTTGACATGGGATAGCTGATCTTAGGATGAAGACCCCCACAAAAACACAAGATGATCCATCCGAGTTTGAGTCTGAATTGACAGAGGCGCGGTCGCAACCGCAAACACCATTTTTTGGTTAACAAAACAGAGAACTTGGCTTGGAGTTTTATGCTTTGGAATTTTGTTTTTTGGTTTTTTTCTGTTGTTTGTCGATCGATTCCAAGTGGCGGTTGTTGCTCGGTAAAAGTTTCACTGCCGTTCAAACATTGCAGATGCTGTGGACCTGCTTTTAATGCACCGAAAACAATTATATACACTATCAATTTAATGTTTATTCATATTTGCTTAGGTTGTTAAGATGCTGTAGAGCAATGAATTGACATAAAAGCGTGTTGTATTACACATTAAGATAAGCTGATAAAATAAACTGAAAGTTTATATTTAATAAACCTGTATTAAATGATCAAGTTCACTAAGCAATGTTTAGATAGCAATTTATGTTTTACGGCAGCAATTAATTTCTTATGCACATATATTTTCTCATTCCTTTTAAAGACATGTTTTGTATAATGATTAATGATTAAAGTGGTACTAAAAACAAAACGATACAATCATTTTTTATCTCTTTCATAAAATTTTTCAATGATAATTAATTTAAGCTATGAGTGCTGTAAAGAAATTCCAAATTTCATAACACGTTTCTTGCAGTGCAGCATTTCGAAATTGTAACGGTAAGACCAGCGTTTCCACTCAATTTGATGTCATTTGTGGCCGCCATGGCTTTTGTGGCCGTAAACGATCGATATTATTTGCCATAGTGGCATAGAAATTGAAGTCGGCCCCCAGCTTTAAACAACCTCCCCCCTCCCCCCGGATAACCCCCGCCGATCGGCCGCCGGATCATGCGTAATTAACTACACATGTCGATATCACGAGCCGCGGATGCTGTGAAAGTGAAATTTGTTCGCACCGCAACGAGCAACAACAATGGCGAAGGAGTGTGGGGCAGAAAAAGCGCAAAAATGTTAACAGCCATCGAAGGTTTATTTTTCTTGTAAAGGGGCAATTTACTTTCGTTCATGTGTGCCAGTGTGTGTGTGTGTGTGTGTGTGTGTTAGTGTGTGCCTCAGTTAACTGTGTTTTTTTTATGGTTATTAAGTAACTTCTTTCTTACAGATGAACAGATGGCAACACAGGGTAAACCGATTAGCTCTGAAGCGTGCTCGTGTGTTGAAAGACCTCGGCTGATGAAATGCCCATATGTTTCCCCACTAATTTAATTTTCTTCCTATGACTTTTTAATTTGCATCGGTAACTGTTTCAGTTAGTGGTTCGTAAACTTAATAGCATGATTTAATCGGTTCGGGGCAGTTTGGTCATACGTTTAATGGCGGTTTATATATTCGGTAATCGTTTGTTTGTTTCATTCATTTTTAAGCATGGCTAATAATAAACAAACAAAAATGGCCAAATCCTGATAATGGAATTTTATTTTGGTTAAGGTGGTTTCTTTATAATTTTTGTAATCTTTAAAAATAAATTTGTATTTTAAACTTGCAAAAATAAAAGACTTAGGCAACAAGCAAAAAAAAAACAAAAGACTTAG